ACACATTTCCTTTCCCCATCACTACAGCACCTCCTCTTCCAGCCGCTTAAACTCAGCATCAGAGATTTAACAGCAGGTTCATTAAGCAGGGAATTGTTATTTTATAGAGTTTCCAGGTATCAGAATATATTCTTCACGTTCCTTATTCACAAACCAGATTTTAAAAACAAGCAGAGCCACCACACTGGACCATCAAAATTGATGTGTTTTTACTGAAACAAGTTTCACGTGCTCCAGCGAAGAAAGAGGGGAAAATGGTACAAAATTAGCAGTGTCAATATGCTACAAAAATAGAAATCAGCAAAAGCAAATCTTACATCACTTCCTAGGTGGTTGCGGTGATAAGAAAGGTGTTTCTGTTTGGTTGTTTTGTTCTGCAAACAATATAACTCCCAGCATCAGAGAAATCTGCAGTCATTTGCTTTAAACACATCCACTAGCATTTAATCACATTCTGGGCCAAAATCAGCAGCTCCAGAAAAATAAAATACAACAGGATACCTGTTGGTCACCCAGGGATGAGCAAAAGAAACCCCTAAGCTGGAGCACACACCAATTGCTAGGAAAGCCCACTGCTCTCTATTGGCTAAACAGGTTTCTAAAGGCAGCCAGGATCAGCATGATCTGAATCTGTTGGACTGGAAGCGCTGTGAAATAGAACCTGGGTTTGAAATGAGCAGCCTGGCTTAAGACTAAGAGTTTTGTACTTGAGCATTAGAATGACGCACTTAGTTACTGTACTGAAGTGCACAGGAGAGGTTTTCTTCTGAGAAATGGTCACAGTGCTTTTTTCTAGACACTTGGTATAAATAAAGCCTCACAGGTTGTACATTTAGGACAGATGCTGCCAGCTTCACTCTCCTTCAGCAGTGGCTGTAAGCGCACTAAAGCAAGAAAAGCAGCCCAGCAACCTGGGCTGGACACCAGGTTCTTGTAGACCTATCCCCTTCTTCTCACCCCACCAAGCAGGATGGGCTCTCTCAGTAATGAAATACAATTCTAATGCTCACTGCTAGCTTTGTTCTAGATGCACCCATCTGTATGAAGGGGGGAAGAAATGAAAAGCACGTCAGGACTCCCATTCGCTAACCAAGCTCCTGGCTACATCCTACCAATAACACTGAGCTACCATCACCACACTAACACCTTCCCTTGGCCTGTTAGTCACTACTAAGTGCTCTTTGATGACTGAAGAGGTTTTAGAGACATATGGATCTTACCTTTCCCTATCACAAACTGACACAGAGATGGTATTTTCTTATCAAGTTGAAGGAGCAGGGAAGGGGTTCAACAGAAACTGCCTTTCAAGCCAAAGCTCTCAAGAAAAATCACTTGCACTATACTAGTGTTCCCCCCCCCCATCAAAATAACTTTCCTAATTTCACACAGTGTAATCAGTACAGTCTAAAATACCAGGGGCAGGCTTTGAACACAGGCTTCCTTATCAGAACAAATGTATTTTGATGTTTTGACAGTACGACTTCTCCTTCAGTCAACAAAAATATTTCTATCGCATTATTCTGGCTTGGTATCTTAATTGGATGCTTACAAGTACAAAAGTACAACTAATGTGATTAGAGTCACCATTATGCTTTGCAAACGCACACTTAGCTTTCCTGCTTGATCTTCAAGCGCCCCAAGTGTTGTGTGTTTGTTAGAGGTACTACAGAAAGGCAAACCTGACTGTGAGAGGAACACAAGAGTGTGTTTGCATGTGTCAAACCATTGGATCAAGTAGCACAGAATGTCTGGCTGTCTTTTGCTGAAGATGCCACAGAGCCGCTTCCCTACTCTTAAAACAGCAAGTTTTCCCTCTGTAGGAAGGGTGCACAGGGCTTCACTCTTGCAAGTTGCCAGAGAGAATTTCAGCTGCACACAGACCCCCCATAAGAAGCTTCCAGCACCTTCAGTTGCAAGTGCTGTTATCCACATTGCCTGCTGACCTGCTTGAGAAGCCTCACAAGCAGACCAGTCCGGTGCTGCAACACTGACATCAACACCAATGCTACTCCTGCTGCTTCAATGAACTCCAAACAAGATGCAGCTTGGGAGAAAGTGAATCAATTCTCAGTTACCAAGAAAGTTATCAAGGAAAGCCAGGTAGTTATCAGTGGGTTTCAAGCCAGTATTTAGTAGTCTGTTATTTGTTGTTTTCTTTATTTTTCAAAAGAACGAAGCCTTACAGAATATAAAAGGCTGAGAATGATCCACCACCAAGTCTGCATGGGAGAAGCAGAACCAGGAGCCCCATCAGCACTGTGGGAGCCAGGAGCACACAGGAATGGCAGAGATAGGCCTAGCAGAATGCTTGCTTTCACAGACAGCCTGGCAAGGAAAGAAAGAAGTTTGGATGCTGTAGTTTCGCTCCCCAGCCAAGAGAACGCTCTACAGCTATGCTCAGCTGCAAGCTAGAGAGCAGCAGCAACAACACAGCAGCACTCTCCCCTTTCCTCGTGTGAAGGGCCCAGGGCCAAAGCCACGAATACAATGCCAAGGAGCAGTTACTGGAGCAGAAGACCGGCAAGTGCTGTTCAGCCTCACTGTGTGAGGAGACACCGAGTCCCAGTGCTCACACACACGCCTCACTGGGCAGAGCACCCTCAGCAGCAGCTGAGCTGCAGCAAGCGCTCAGCAACATCTTCATGCCGCACAGACCATAGTATCGTCGTGCTGGTGGGTTTAACCATCTCTCTTCTGCTCTGGAAAAGGAAAATTTCAAAGCCAGGTAGAAATTGGATGTCTGAAAGGGATGCTGCTTCTAGGACAGCTTGACAAAATGACAGGCAATGCAACTCCCTGCCCTGGGGATGGGTGTGAATGGAGCAGCCAACTTGCACAGCAATGAACTTATGTGCATCTTGCATCTTCCTCTTCACCGATACCCACTGGATTGCTCCCGGCAGCATGCACGCTGCCTTACGAGGGGCCGCCTGCCTTCCAGACTTGCAATACACACTCAGCAGCGTGATGAGAGGAGAACTCACAACAGGACCTGCGAGCGTGCTTTAGTTTTCCTCTGTCTCCGGTAGGTTCCCGGGCGCGGGGCTCCCACCAGCCCCCGGCAATATCCCGCCTGGCCGCCGCGCTTTCTTCGTCGGTATTTACATCGCTTTCAGAGGGTCGAAAGGCGGACGCCCACAAGCCAAGGTCAGCGCACAGCGCCCGTCCCACACCTCCAGCGGACGGCCAGCTCTGGAGCTGGATGTTGGGCTCAAAGAGACGCGGAGGGAAGGGAGAGCAAGATCGACGAGCCCTTCAAGAAGGAAGGACGATTTCTCACCGGTGCTTTACCCGCGCAGTAACGCAAATAACACACGCACACACATGCACAGCACGCGCAGATGAGCGCGGGACAGGAGCGCCCGGCGCCCGCCCTCAGCAGCTCCCGGCCGCGAGGCGCCCGCAGTGCCCGGCGTCAGCCCGCGCCGCGCGGCCCCAGCGGCGGAGAGAAGGAGCGGCGGGAACGGGCTCGCACGGCCCCCCCAGCGCAGCCCGCCCGCCCGCCCGCAGCAGGCGGCCACAGCGCCGGAGAGAGCGCAGGCCGCGGCGGGAGCCCGTCCCGGGATGGGGCGGCCCCGCGAGAGGAGGGCGGCGGCGGCGGCAGTACCTTTCTCCTCCCGCCAGAGCTTTTTCCGCTTGTTGCCGGGGTACATGGTGCTGTGGCTGGCGGCGGCTTTCGGCTGCAGGTTCCCCAGGCTCACGGGGGTGCAGAGGACGCCGAGCCTCAGCGACAGCCGCCGCACGCACGCGCTGCTCGCCAGCTCCGCGCCCGCCCGCCGCCCGGCTCCGCGCGGCGCCCGTCGGCTGGGTCACGCCTCGCTCTAACCCGACACCCCCGCAGCGCCCGCCCCCCTCCCCGCCGCCCGTTGGCTCCGGCGGCCGCCGCTCAGCAGCCCCCTCCTCCGCCCGCCGCCGCCGGCCCGGGCGCGGCGGGGCCGGGAGGGGCCCGGAGACGGCGGCGGGGCGGGAAGAGGCACCGGGACCGGGATTGGGACGGAGGGGTCCCGAGCGCGGCGAGCGCTCGGGTAGGACGGCGGCGGCCCCGGGGAGGGCGCTGGGGCCCGGCACGGCACGGCCGACCCCGGGGCGGAGCGGCGCCCGCTCTGCTTCCGGGTTGCCGAGAGGCACCGAGCGCTCCGCTCCTCCGGCGGGCGGGCCGCGTTGCTACGCGACGGCGTCGCGATCCCGATCGAGGGGGGCGGCGATACCGCGGCCTGCGGGACCCGGCACGGCACGGCACGGCCGAGACTTCGGAGAGAGCCGGCCGGGCTGCCGGGGCGGGGCGGAGCTGCGCGTAGCCGCCTGCCGAGCCTCGCCTTGGGCACGTTCAGCCCCTGGCAGCTACCCGCCTTGTCCCGAGTGAAGTCCGGTTGGGCCGCGTGGAAGAGATATCCCTGGTCCGGAGCTCCTTGTGTTCGGCCTGTGACTCTGGCTTTGTCAGAGAGCTCTGTCCAGAGCTGCACGGATTAAAACCGTGCCATTTCTGGGCAGATTTTTTCCCAGCACTTTTTTTTTTTTTTTTTTTTTTTTTCAGTGTAAACATAAATGCATGAAACTTTCAATGAGCACAGTAGCAAAAAAACAGCACGGTAAAAATAATAATAATCAAGTGATCAGACGGCAATAAATGATGCTGAGGAAGAGTATGAAAGCGTGGTGAGGTACTGGAGGACAATGTGTTACACACGATGCACAGAACTGCCTCAGCTTAGAAGTGAAAGGGGCAGTTATCACCCACGGCACAGAGAGCCCAGAGATGTGCTCTTGGGAATCGCTGCTCAATGGATTTGTGCAGGTAGCAGGTCTCAGTGTTCCCACTTAAGGCAAAACATGAGCAATGAGTGGGTTATCCCGTAAAAGTTTTGCATCTGGCAGAGGAAAAGTCTGGTCCTTTTCTCAGTGTTGCGGGGCGCTGTGTCAGGAGGGAGCTCATTGGTCTTCTGGTGAAATAAAGCCGCTCCTGACAGAGGGAGAGACTCTGTGACAATGCTGTGAAACAAACACAACAGCGAAAAGTGCCTCTTTTTCCTGTGCACAGGAATGCCCGCCTTTGTACCAAGTCCTAGTTTCTGAGGAGCAAACACAGCATCTGTGCTCTTGTTCTGCAGTCATGGTGCAATTCCCGACAGCAAAATCCATAGTCTCACCGCACCCACTGGTGGAACAGAATACTCAGAGCTGTCCTTCTCACCAGCTCAAGTTAGAATAAAACTCCTCTTTACAAAGCACGTTTTAATGTTCAGATTAGGTTGGCTCTCAAGGGTACACTGCTATCCTCTGTGATTACTCAATGTCTTGGTTTTGGCCAGCTGATATTCTCTGGTAGCCCACACACAGTTTTCTCATCTTGGTAAAATGAGAAACCAGCTGATGAAGAGGCATCAAAGGGATCATAGCTGAAGTCACGTGTGTTTGTGTTTCTATGATGCAGAGCAGATACTTGAACCCATATCCTGCATCATTGCCACATTACCAAGCTACTGAATATTCTAGAGTCCTCTGGGATCTGTTCCACATTTTATAAATCAATGTTTATTGGACCAGAAGGGAAGACAGAGAAAACTCTTTTCCCATCCGGGACATTTGCATGCATTCTTCATTTTCATTTGTAAAACAGCTAAAACAGCCATCATTTTGGGAAATATAGAAAGTATGTGCCTTTAAAAGGAAAAAAGAAAAAAGAAAAAAGCCTCATGCACCAGCACCAAAATGGAAGATCAGATAAAAGGCAGGAGTAAAACTCTCTTCAACTTAAAACAGAAATGTTTAAGTTTTTCAATTTGTGTAAGAAAATACTTATTTTCATTTAGTTAAATGTATTTTATTTAGTTAAATGTATATGAGTGTTTACCTCAGTAGCTCTTGGTATAATTGGGCCCACCGAAGCAAGAAGAAATTATGTCACCGCCTTTGGTGTGAGCATGATCAGCATTCACTTCTTATACTTGTTGATTCCGGAGGCCTTAAATCTTCCAGCAATCACAAATCCTCCAGGTGCAGTGAAATCACTGGACAATTACCAGCTATCTCAGTCTGTGCTTTCCCTGCTGTTCCTGAAGGGAAGCAAAGCGTTCAGCCTTGTAGATAGGAAACATGAATAGCCCTTCCACTGCTGCCCACCAGCCTGCAATCCCCACATCCAGAGCTAGAAAAATATATGGGAAATGGTCCGTTAGAAATGCTGTTTGGGGAATACACCTAATTTCTTTATGAAGATATTTTCCCCTGGTCGAGCACATGTTAACATTTGCCATGGGTGAATTTTAAAAAGACAAAGGCACAAATATATCAGGCTTTCTGTCTGACAAGTTTGTAGCTCTCAGTCAGCAGAAGGAAGAAAATATCCACATGACAGGAATAATAACCCTGCTCCCTAGATGCTGGCAGCAGTCTAGCACACTGCAATGAAATCTGAGGAAAGTAGGAACAAAACACAGGTTACGTCTTTTTCTTTCTCTAACACTGTAGCTGGCACAGAGGCATAGTATCACATGTACATAAATACAGTTTGTTTTCTTTCTCATAGAATTGTTGATGAGAGTTTTAGCCTGAAGTGTCAAGTTTGACCATTGTTTACAAGCAAGGAACATCTAACAGGTAGCATCCTCAAAGTGGGGTGATGCTTAGACAAGGTGCTAATTATATAACACACAATACAGTAATTAACTTCTGGCTCTGGGCAGACACTTAACTGTCCATGTTAGTGGGTAAGATTGTGCAAGGACAACACTAGATTTGCAGCAAAGATGTAGAGTGAGAATGAACAGAAATCACAAAATCATAGAAAGGTTTGGGTTAGAAGGGGCCTCAAAGCCCCCCCAGCCCCAACCCCTGCCATGGGCTGCCTGCCCCCCACCAGCTCAGGCTGCCCAGGGCCCATCCAACCTGGCCTTGGGCACCTCCAGGGATGGGGCACCACAGCTCTCTGGGCAGCAGTGCCAGGGCCTCACTGCCCTCTGAGTAAAAAATTACCTTCTAACATTTAACCTAAATTTCTCCTCTTTTAATTTAAAGCCATTCCTCCTTGTCTTATCACTATCCCACCATGTAAAGATTCAGTCCCCCTCCTGGAAGGCAGCAATGAGGTCTCCCCAGAGCCTTCTCTTCTCCAAGCTGAACAAGCCCACCTCCCTCAGCCTTTCTTCAAAGGAGAGGTGCTGCAGCCTTCTCAGCATCTTTATGGCCCTCCTCTGGGCCTGCTCCAACACCTCCACATCCTTCTTGTGCTGGGGACCCAGGCCTGGATGCAGCACTGCAGGTGAGACCTCACAAGGGCAGAAATTACAGGAGATGCTAAAGGAGGATGAAGGAAGTCCATACAAAATCCAACATCATGATGACCAGGAACATGAGAGCGCAATCGCTGGAATGAGAAGCATGGGAGTCAAAGAGGAGTCTCTGAGAGAAGTGATCAGCAGTATTGAATGGGCTGGGAAAATTTAGCCAAAAAGCAGCATTTCAGTACTTGGATGAAAACCGGCGAGGCTAAAAAATAGATTATTTTCTGGAGAAAATTAGAGAGCTGTATACTATGTCAGCTTAAACAATACTCAGAAGGCTTCAGTATGTTTCACTGAAACGCTGAGTGCAAAAAGCAAAATTTAGTGTGTTTCATCCATCCCTGGCCTACAGAACACACCGGCGACATTCTGTAGAAGATGACAGGAAAACAGGGAAATGCCCACAAAGTGTTGTTTAAAAGATGCATGGCCTGGACAGAAGACAGACTTCTACTGTGACTGTAAAATAAATGCTTGCTTGACATATGGATAAAGCAGTGACTGGTTAGAGAGTTCCTGTGAGATACATAATAGGAAATGTAAATTAATAAGAGAATTAATAATACACTATATCAGTGAATAAATGTACCAAAGAAGAGCTGGAACTTCAGTGCAAGCTGCTGGAACATTCACCACCTGCACACAGCATTAAAGTCACCAGCAGCCATCTTGACCAAAATAAGCAGTTTGGAGCTGCTGCCCTGTAAAATAGTTTAAATTCTGCCTGTGAACTACACAATGACTTGTAAAGTCAGCATGCTGATTTCAAAGACTGTGTAATGCGGGTGATGTGGATTAGATTCTGAACCTCATTATACGATTTCAATTCCTTGATAACATTATTTGGAATGTGAGATTAAATTGAGATTATTTCCTCTGGTTCTAACCATTTTAACAAATGAGACACAACTTTTTGCATTTGGAAATGTACGATTTGAGTAGCCAGTAAACAAAAGTAATTTACCATGCCAATAACATAATAGAGTAAGTATAAACATATAAAATGAGCTTATGAATATTTCATATTTAATTTTAAAAAATGTATCTCAGTAGTTATTATTTTCACTTCTCAGAGCTTGTTTGTGCAGTAAGCCCTGTTATAGCTGAGTCTTGTTGATTTTTATTAAATCCTGTGCCAACACAAGTTCCACAGCAGGAAATTCTAATGCAGACGTACAGCCCATGTACATTAACCATGAAGTCTTTTCTCCTGTTCATTCACACCACATAGCAAAACCCTTCTGAGTTCCACAATATTCAACAAAACGTTGCCTTTCTATAAGCACGTTCACTTTCAGATATGCCACCATGCATTCAAAACATAAAATGCACATCACTCATCCTTTATTGGAGAGTTGTACCCCACCTTTTGAGCTTTCGAGCTACTAGCATACCTGGGTCAAGTTTCTGTTAATAAAACTACACCTCGTGACAGGTAGAGAGGGAGTGAACTGATGACAAGCATTTGATGAAGTGCTGCCTGTAATTTCCCTGCTTTGTTGCCTTGAGCAAATGAGCTAACAAGGAGGCAAGAAACTGCAGGCTCCTTTGTCCTGCGGGGTGATTGGAGAGAAAGATGAAAGGCGAAATATTCATGTTTCTCACAGCTTTCTGATTTTAATACATTTTGCAGAGGAAAACTCTGCAGCAGCGGAGGTGACCCGCTGTTGCTGTTGCTACTGCTGAAACACACCACCCACCCCTCACTGTGCTCACATCCACTGTTTGCACTCCATCAGCATTCAGCAAGTGTCATTCTTTCCACATGGAGGACTTCAGCGTCACACCTTTGCTCCATATGCACTTCCACGTCTGCTGCCATCTGTAACACGGCCACCAACATCGGCCTCTGATGTTGTGGGCCAACCTCATAAAATAGGAGGCATTACTTTCAGAGCAGCCCTCATATTAATGTTTACAAAAATCATACCCTATGATAAAAGTTAACGTATGCAAAGACAACAGAGAAGGAGCTTTTTGGAGTTTTTGATATGAACTTTGTGGTGGAGGTGCTTGCATGAGCATTTCCAGGTCTCTACTCACGACTGCCAGAAACAGAACTACTTGGTCTGAATAATTCTGTATCAGAAAGAAATAAGATGTATTTCAGAAAATAGGCAATGAAAACTTTCAGGCAGGAAATCGCTTTTCAGTACGCTCCTTGAAAATGTGGAATTCCTGATCAGCCTACAATGCACTCAGTAAAAAATGGAAATTGAAAACATAAATAGATTGCAACAGTCAAAGTGACCTCAATACAGAGAAAGAAAAAGCAGAGCTTACCCATGAGCTCCAAGGAAAAGTACATGAAAGTAACGCGGTTATCTTCAATACCGACGTAATGTGTGACCATTGCGACCTTGGCCACCGCTGGAGGTGCACCACCATCTTACAGTCAAGACAGCTGCATCATCCAATGGCTTTGGAAGGACAGAAAATAAATAATGCAATCAGATCTAGCTGAAGAAAGCAAGGTATTCATCTGCAGTACTAGTTGTTAAAGCATAGGTCACGTGGAGTAACCATAAGAAGAGGTAAAAGGATGCATTTCGCTGTGTTGAATCTTCCATTGATGTTGCACACATCTACATCTGTGCTCAATCTGCTCTGACTGCGAGGGGAAATAAATGGGTGACTCACGACAACAGGCTATGCCAAATCTCCAGTATCCAGCTGAGCAACTGGGACTAGTAGGGCTGCAAATTAATTGGTTTCTAAAAACAATAAAAGATGGAAGTACTTTCAAAAGACACCCAACATGGTTGCTGTATAGAATTAGGCTGAAATGATATTATTAAAGAAAGCTTTCAAGTGTCAAAAATAAAAGAAGGTCACATATTCTCCACTGAGGAATTCTGGATCTCACCAGAGGGAACATCCATGTTCATTATTCTTCCATTTTATCTGGTTTTTCTTTTACAGTATCTTTGCAGACAGACAGGAAAAACAAAACAGAACAAAACTTAGAGATATGGTTGTGAGTTGAAAGAATGAGCACAGAGAGTAGATAAATGATACACGAATTGGAAAGGCAGGTCAAAATTTTAAAATTATATATAGAGCAAAGCTAATACGAAATGACCTGAAACAGGAAATAACCACATTATTTTTTAAACTGCTTGCTTTTCCAATTCTTTCTTTATTCTCCCCCCAAACAATGCCATCTATTCAATGGTATCCTCACTGTTGTTTTCTTTTACTCTGTTATTTTAAATTCATCCATTCTGCACAGCTTTTGTAGATTGGAGACAAACTTCTTGCCAAGGCACACTTCAGTTACAGAAGTGCAGGCGCTAATTAATATTAGTGAGATGGCGCTTGGCACACATATGGAGTTACAACTTGTACAGAACCAAGGAATCAGAGCCTCCCTGTGGCAGGAGGGCCCATGAGGGTTCTCTGATCCAAGTTCCTGCCAAAAACAGGATCGCACTGAGCTCACACTGGGGTGCTCGTGGCTTTTTCTAGTTGGGTACTTTGACAGTTTGCTCTCAGCTAAGTCGTTCTAAATTACTCATTTCCCATGAGAAAAAAAATATATGTGTATACATAACAGCTTTACCTTTGGTCAACTGTATATCGCAACCGTTTGTGTGTGCTGTTTCCATTTAATTGCTACATCACTTGCAAAAATGAGTTTGCAATTTGGGAGTAAGAATTCCGTGGGATTACCCAGCCTGAATGCTGCTAATGAGAATGTCCTCCTCCTCAATTGCATTTTGTGCTTTTGTGGTACTGCATATCATCTTACTGTGTCATTCACGCTATAGAATATGATATAGAAAGTGGAATATTTAGATCACAAATCCCAGAATTCTCCAGGGACGGGGCATCAACCACATCTCTGGGCAACCTGTCCCAGTGCCTAGCTGTACATTGATGCAAAAGCTCTTCACACTGTGTATCCTGTTCCACGGATCCCCTACACAATCCTGACCAAGGTCCTGCTACCCTCTATCATAAATCCACAGCACTCGTATGCAAGAAGCATTGAAGCTGGTATATGGCCAAGACTCCCAGTCACCCACCAGTTGAAAAGGCAGACTTTCCACCAACTAATGTGTAACAGTCTTGGGCATTGATGACTGGCTGGAAAAACAGTACTTAATTTATGGTTATTCAGGGAGGTGCTTACAGCTACGCACCTGAATTCTGCCTTTTGTTACAGGCTGGAAAATGAATTTAATCTTTTTCTCCTACAGTGATGCCTTCCTGGAAGTCATTTTAAGAAGAGGCCTGTACTGTGAATTTAATCTCTTGTACTTTAATAAGTATCCTACAGGGTTATTAAGGTGTTAGAATTATCTCTAAAGAAAAAGAATTACGTTATTAGTTAGCAAATTAAGAAAATTTGTCTTCCAAATACACTCCGTTGTTTGAATAGAAACAAAACAGTTTTAGAACAAAATGCACCCTTACTGATAGCTTTACTTTTAGCAAACATTTTTTTGAAAACCACAGAGAAATAATGCTTCGAAACAAGATAGTGCATCTCACAGTGCAATTTATCAGGACAGAGGTTTAGTGCCTCCATCACAGTCACAAACCCTGTCCCATCATTGTTACAATGTGGATGTGATCTATCTGCTGATAAATCTGTACAGTTATCTTAAATACTTTTGTTGCTGCTCGTGTTTACTGACAGACTGCATCCCCTCAGTTCTTGGATGGCAGAGCTCCGTGCTCCATGCACTCACTGCGTTGGAGGGACCTTCGGAGATGGGCAGTAAGAGCCTGCATGGATAGGAGCTCTTACTGGAGCCTCCAGTAAGGAGGCTCAGGAGGCAGAAGGCAGGCAGTGGTGGTATCAGAACCTACCCAAAGCAATGCTGTGGAGGCCAGCAGGACCTCAACATGGTTTAATTGTCCCCGGAGTTGATGTTGGGTGGGAAGGAACAGGCCTCACTCACGTTGGTGTAGTGGAGCACAAGGTAAGGGTCAGGCAGTGAATGAATCATGGGTTTCCCAGAGAGGGGCATCCTTTGGCAAGCAGTGAGGTTTGTATTTGCCTGTAGGAACGCTTGAAGAGCTTGCCAGAGGGCAACTTTTCCAAGTGGAAAAAAGGCCATAGAAAGAAAGCAGTTGTGCCACAAACATTGCTCATCTTCTGTCCATCAGCCTGGTAGCCATGCACCCACACATAGGCCACCAGTGAATGCAGAGCATCTGAAAGGGGTAGAACAAAGGGGAAGCTCATGTTTGAGTCCCCACTCTTAAAAGCAGTGTTCACTCACACAGTGGTTGATAACTGCACTTTTGAACAAAATTTGAACAAAATTTCTAAAATTATGAGATAACAGTAGCATCATTATTTCAGTAAAATGTATTGTCATTACTGGGAAAAAATTGAACAGCAATAAGCAGCTGTTATTTAAAATAGCATATGTCAGTGTCTCATAGCTTGCTGCTGATGAGGCAAGAAGCTGAAATGTACTTCCAAGAGTGATAAATCTGCCCAGGTTCCTAAACTAGTAACCAACTGGAAATGGAAATGCATCAAATCACCGACCCTGGGGGTGTTCAAGGAAAGACTGGATGTTGTATTGAGGGACATGGTCTAGTAGGAGCTATTGGGAATAGGTGAACGGTTGAACTGGATGATCTTTTAGGTCTTTTCCAACCTTGGTGATTCTATGATTCTATGATTCTAAATGCAGCTAGAGTTGTGCCAGAATGCAGGACCGCAAGTGGTCATTCATTTCAGATCTGTTCATTTTTAGTATCCAAATCAATACCCCAAAGATGTGATTTGTGAAGATAATACTTACTAAATGTGTTCAGTTTCAAGTGTTAAGCTATCGCTGCGGTGTACGTAAAGAGTGCTCATCATATATCTGCTTTCACATGTAATTATTCTAGCAGTGAGTTTTAGAAATATTACCTCATTTTACACTTAAATCCAGTTGCATTTTAATGTTCTTTTAAATAGGAAGCCGTGTCTAAGAAGGTTCTTATCTATGAAGGGAATTACCATAGGCTGTTCTCCATAAGCTTTTCATTTCTAACATCCAGCCAGAGATTTGTGTGGATTTTAGAGAGAACATATTTTGCTTTACGTGTGGGGAAATAAACAAGATATTATGACCAGTTTAACATCAATCTGAAATCAAGTGTGTAGTAAACAGTTTAGTTCTTTGGAAGTCACTTAAGTGACATTTAGAAACAGTTTTTTCCTGGATAACAAACAGTGTAGTAAACAGAAATACCACGTTAATCCATTTCCTGTATGTATTCCTTCAATCTTAAAATTGAATAACAACGTTACAATGAAAATATTGTTTGATCGTGACAGATTTAAAAACATGAAAGAAACACCTAGAGCATTCCTTCTCAGGCTTTAATAACCAAATGTTTCTTCTGACAAGGAAAGCCAGCTATTTAGACACCAAAAGAGGAGGTAAACTAGTAGTCCACGCCTTTGACTCAACTCCTAGCAAAACTCTGGTCTCCTCACATTGCTCTAGTTGCACAAAATGGGGTAGAAATAGCCTCAGGGAAAAATCAGGAGTAATGAGGTTAGTTTAAGTAGAGCTGACAGAACGGCTCTGTATCACTCCCCCAACACTGAGCCATATATCTAGATGCAGCAGGTAAAGCTCACAATAAACAACTACAAGATCAGCTGTAAGTTACTGTAGATGTATTATAATTTAGTGTAGATATATTCTCTTCCAGTTGTTTTTATTATTATTATTATTATTATTATACACACATCCTAAGACATCAGAAGATATGAAGCGTAACAGTTAAGGTGTAAAAATTTCAGATTAATGGTGGGCTAAGAAATGTATGACCTTAGTAGTGTTTTGTGGTAAGTCTTCACAATTCCACCCACTCTTTAATAGCAACACCTGCCTAAGCATAAAATAGTTTATATGTGAAATACAGAAGAACAACATATTTCTGCTTGCCTTGGCCAACTGATAGTGATATACATGCTAGATATACAATGGGATGAGGATAATTAATTGTGACATTGTCAAAAGGACACAACGCTTTTTCTGATAAACTCTTTACATCTTTCCAAAGGGTCACAATCAGTATTTCAGCTCTAGGCTGGTTTACTGCCTACAGCAAATTTGATTTTTGTAGAGTTACACAAGCTATGGAATAGGTGATCTAGAATGATTACGTGTTTAAAATGTGAACAGTGTTCCAGGGAAAAGAGAAAAGCTGCTGCACTTGAACTTGGTGTAAATAATAGCTTAACTGAATGCAAATGGTGTATGCTCTTAAGCAGGACTGCCAAGCTGGAAATAACAAACCATAGTAATGTTATAACACCAAGATAAGAGAATTTGATAAGAGATAATTTCAGAAACTAGATTTCAAGGACACCAGAAGACAAATCATGGACAGAAACAAAAACCCAGAAAATAGCAAACTCAGCAGTAGTTATCTTGTGAAAAATCAGTTTAAATCCCCACTTAAAAAAAAAAAAAAAAAAGTTCTGATTTAGAAACACCAGTGAATCTTATTCTCAGGGCTTTTTTATACTAATTCTCTATTGTTTCTCCAACATAAGCACAATAATGCCAATATCAAATTATTTTTGTTGGTGCAACTGACTTTACTTGATTATAGAATCACTAAGGTTGGAAAAGACCTCCAAGATCACCCAGTCCAACCCCAGCCCACTGCGCCCACTGCCCACATCCCCCAGTGCCACATCTGGGACTCCTCCAGGTGACCCCAGCGCTCCCTGGGCAGCTGTGTCAGTGCAGAATCACTTCTGGAGAAGGAATTGTTCCTAGCAGCCAACCCAAACCTCCCCTGGCACAACGTGAGGCCATCCCCTCTCGTCCTATGGCCGTTCCCTGCCAGCAGAGGCCGACCCCGCCTCACACAGCCTCCTTTCAGGGGGTTGTAGTGAGACTTTCAGAATCCTTTCCTTTGAACCAGTAACAGCAGACCTTGCCAAAGCATTTGTTTATGGATGTAACTGCCAGCAAACTTTTACATACATATCATCCACACTCAAACAAGATGTGTCTCTACCTTTCTTTCTATGTTCAATTGCCCATCACCTTCTACATGCAGTTTCAAATGATGCTGTTCCAATGAAATACTGCAGCGATTCAGCAGTGATATTTTTATGATAGTAAAGTTCACATTAAAGCATCCAGTTTCTTTTCCTTGTACAGTAGCCAAATATAAGTGAACTGCATAAAACTGTCAAAGCTGGTCTGATGCAAGAGTCCAGTTATGTTTTCCCAGTATATTCCTGCATCTGAGCAAGAGTGGAGAGAAGCCTTTACTCCCAAGGGTAATCGCTGCACGTAAAGAGCCAGCTGCCTTTCGTGATGGTTGAATACCACCTACAGTTATAAGTGCCGTTTCAAAAGGGATGTCAGATTCCAATTGTAAAAGTAATATCTTGAAAAGGAAAACTAAGATGGGATAAAGAACTACTTGAATTCAAGATGAGCTCCGGATTCAGATGAAGTGATAATGAGAAATGAAATTAGATTTTTTCAAAAAAAATTACAAGACTTCCCCTTTCTATAAAAGGTGTTTATAAAGAGACCGCTTCCAAAAGGAAGAAGCAAGAATAGCTCCAAATGGGAAGCGATAATGAGGGGCATTAACAAGATTTATATCAGTAGCCAGAGACAGTATTGTTTTTAAATAAGGAAAAACAGCAAACCTTTCAGAAATCACAAATATTTCAGTACTACGCTGAAACGTGAGGAAGAAGCATTGGAGAAGAACAACGTTTGAGTTGATTGGCTTAAGAACTGCCTCTGCAGGCTGAAAACGAGGCAAGGTTTAATCTTATCGGTCAAATTCCAGCAACAATAAACCAAGGCATGCAGCCACCCTCACGAGATCCACATGCAGCCGCGGGCTGTCAGCAGAGGCTACGCTGGCATACAGTGAATGAAGCCTGACACGACCTTTCAGATGTGGGGAAGTTGGGTCAGACCAATACAGAATGCAATCTGACAGACGTTTAGAGAGAATGTTTAAGTGATTGTGATGCCCGTGGCACTTGCACTAAATGAAATAAAGGTTTGAGAGAATTTCTGTGGGCTTTCGTGTGCTTTGATCAAGAATGTAAGACTGTTAAGGATACGTAATGAAGGATTCCTCCAAAACATTATCATAAAATGGAACTACCATCCTTAAGAAAACAGCTTTCAGGCCACAGCTGTCACCCTTGCAAGGACTGATATAACTTGATGGAAATAGACTAGACTGCAGTTATTATGTCCACAAAAAACTCCCTGCCTAATTTTAATTCACAGCCACGTGGTGACTCAAGTAACACCTCTCCAGCTTTAGGTCAGGACTTTAGACAGTACTGAGAAGTAGATGCTGTTTGAAGGAGAAGAAAACAGCTGATAACAACAGTGATCTTCATCATTAATATGCTATTTTGACACATTGTTTGGTAAAATTAATAATTGCCAAATGTATCCTGGTCCAAAACAAACTTTTGCTCGGAAGCGAGGATATTTTACGTCACGTGTTTAATCGAGCAGTCAGCAGCAAAATCCTCTCCATCTGCAAACATTAACCACAGTCTGCTGGGCTGGAAGCCTGGCTTGCTGCAAGCAAACAGGGTCACGAACCTCCACAGTGGCTCAGCTTCCCCAGGACACAGACGGGCTGCTCCACTTGGGCTCCGAACTCAGGTAGAGAGGGAGCATTTCAAGACTCTACCAAGCAAAAAACACCCGCGCTAAATGTATTTAAGTTTGACGGATGTTAAATATGGAAAAGTTCTATCCGATTTACTTACTTGTTGAGAGCAGCTCGTCGGTTCCGGGTCTGCAAATGATAGAAACGTGGTAGCTTGGACAAAACATTTGCGTGGTTTAAATATAAGCAAGTGTGCTACTCTGGAAAAGAGGAGGATCTTGGAGTGGGAACAGTTTCAGATGAAAAAAAAACAACACAAATGCAAATTACTGATAGAAACAAATGGAAGATGTAAATGTTTACTATTCAACTGATCCTTCTTTTGCTTTTTGATTTCTGAGCAATCTGACAAATATTAAATAGCATGAAATGAGATTTCATAGGTGACGGCGGAGCTTTTATTCTTCTTATAAAGAAATCCCTGATGCTAATAAAACAGAATCTTTAAATACTTATTGGTGCATCTTCTGTCAAACAATGATAACGGGCCACTGTTCTTATTTATTGTAACTCAATAAACAAATGCAGTTTCTTGATGATCACACTATTTGCTGCTGCTGACTATAACCTCCTTTCATCTATGAAACCCAGCGTCCTTAAGCTCATACAACACATGAACACATTCATGCCATCTCAAAAGTAGATGTGTTTAATTCTCAGCTGCTTTATGGAATTTCCATCATAACATGTATTGCAGATCTGGCTTAGTAGCTCATACAGCACCATAACACTATTCTATGTTCTATATAATAAGAGTAAAAGCAGAAAAACGAGTGACATCTCATTTAGATTATTATTGCTAATGGGAATGTTGTACAAGGTATAGAAATACATAGAAGGATATGCATGCATCAAAAATAAAAGAAATGGCACAGTTTCTTTTCCTCTACACACACTGCATGAAAGTCAAACATTGAGAATGTGAGATACAACTCCTTGCCTTTTCTACATGTAAAACATCCTGGCTGTGTGGGACAGTGGAATTGCAAAGATCTTTTGAAAGAGATGCCCATGTTAATGATTGGACTTGAATTCTTTTCAAAGTTTCACTTTCTGCTACTTTTACATGTGATAGCATGTTCTCTCCAGGTGTCCCTTTCTGCTTAATTCAGTATTAATAAATAGATTACTGATAATGAAATGAGGACCATCACCATGGTAATTCTAGTAAAAGGTTATTTCTGTCTCATTTCACACATGATAAAAATTTAATCATGCATGTACCAAAAAGCTACAAGTTGCCAGTAAAACACATGCACAGATGAGAACACCTCTTTGCCTTCAGATCAAGGACAGAGAACCACGTTGCCCACTCTCACCTTCCTCACCTCCACTGTAAAAGATGGCAATGAATCAGTCAGTAAATCCAAGTGTTACTCAGCTGCTGGGTGCTCACAAATTTGTCCAACAAACACAATCTGCTTTCTCAGTTTATCACGTTAAGCCCATACAGGGTTAATTTTTAATTCATACTTAGAGGTACTTCATATGGTAAAATGTTTGAGCAGTTGCTTACATTTTTAATTGAGTGGGGTTCTCTTGGATGCAGGCCCGATTCATCGTAGCTAATTTGCATTTGGAAGTAGATTATCTATTTTAAAGGAAAGTTTTCAAAAGCAACTTCACAATTATAGATTGTTTCGTGATAAAAGCAAGTGACTCAAGAGGGGAAAAGCATGCAGTCAGCACATAGAAATGAAGACACAGCCACACGCAGAAGGAAAACATGAAGAGTTCTTGAACTCAGGTCATCATGCAGTGTATCCTAACTGAAAGATACAGACTTGAGATCTATATTGTGGTCAATAGTAATTTACAGCACTGTAGTATGCGTTAGAGGGATTTATGAAGCAAAGGAATTTTCTGAAGTAGTGCCTTTATAGCAGTGAACCATCTATGCCAAATCTTTTTTGCTGACTACTCAGAAATCAATTAAATATTTATTATGATCATCACAATTTACATTTATTACCAGGTAGATCTAATAAAACGCTACTTTGTCACAGAAGCCCCAGCTGAGCGATGATATTTTGTCTCCTCCAAAAGTATTATGCATTCCTTTAAAGGCAACTTTTATTAAACAGCGAAAACCAATTTGAACAATACCTGTGATATCTGTCATCACATGCTTAAGTGCTTTGTCAGCTACACCAGTTTGCTTCATTGAAAAAGAATCCACAAAATATATTTCTTACATTTTGGTTAACTGAGGTAAAAAAGCAATAATTGTGCCATGTTGGGAGCTGCAGTTTTACTTTTTCTAAACTCCTAGCTCTTCAAGTCAAAAGTAATACCTGTAAAACTCAGACTTGAAACCTGTACTAGAGCCAGACTAATTGGTAACAGGCTTTAGAATTAGCTAAATCTATATTAAATTACCTGATACATTTAAACAGAGGCCCATCTGGAGTTGAATCTGTGGAGGGATGTGAAGTACAAAACAATGAGCTTCAACAGGTCCATCAGAAGCAAAAAGAGATCTAGGGAAAATGCGGGGCCGTTGCTGAAAAGAACAGGGGACCTGGTGACACATGACACAGAAAACTCCAAGCTATTCAATGCCTCCTTCATCTCAATCTTGCCTGGTTCAACTGGCCTTCAGGAATCCCAGCTATAGCTGACAAAGGGCAGTAAATAAATGCGTGCCACTCTTCTCAGTGGTATCCAGTGGTAGGACAAGAGGCACATTAAAAATCATGAGAAACTGGCCAAACATAAGGGAAGACTTTTTTATGCAAAGCTGGTTGAGCATTGGAATAGGTCACATAGAGAGGTTGTGGACACGCCATCAGGGAGCTTCAAAACCCAATGGGATGTGGTCCTGGGCTCCCTGCTCTGTGTGCCCATGCCAAACTCCAGAGATCCAACCCAGCTTCACCTGTGCAATGATAAAATTAGCCAAAGAAAGCCAACTATCTCAGTTACAAAGACAAAAGGTGGAAACATCTCTTACTGAAATTAATGGCTGGATTTTTACAAGTAGTGCATTACCAGTGCAGTTCTGCTTATTGCAAACAAATGGATAATACAAACTCACTTCTACTTTACTGTTATACTCTGGGATTGTGGATTATCTCCAAATTTGGCAAAGACTGCTATTTTGTGTTGACAAGATTTGATGATCGTTTGTCATTTTCTGAACGGTAACTACAGATGGCAGGTAGAATGACATTACTTACACAGCGACTGGCAGTCTTTTTAAAATACACTGAAAAGTCTGTTTCTATTAATTATTTATTACCAAAATTGATTGAAAAACATATTAGGAAAGAAGAAAATGACAGATAAAATTTACAGGAGCACAAGGACAGACCGCACAAGTTCACAGAAAATACTCAGGTCAAGATGTCACTGAGCTTCCCAGCAGCAAGAGGCTAAAAAGTATCCTGTATACTTACCCTGGTTTTAGTCTCTGAGAAACAGTCTTATTCGGTCTTTATTCCTCTTAAGGAGAAGCAGAAGCCTGCTTACCGAGACTGCAATATCCCTCCTAGGAAAGATGGGAGGAAAGAAAGTGGTAGGAAACAGTTACAAAAGGTAAGAAACAGAAAAGGTGAGAGGAAAAGTAAAAAAGGCAGAAATTACAAACCAAAAAGACGGGGAATTGGAAGAGATCCTGGATTCCTCCTGTCAGCATTAATTGCTCTCTTCAAGTATGCATGAGCAGTGAGCTGCTCCAGGACCACGCAGTCTGAAACCCAAACTGTATAACCCTTGTCAAATGTCAAACACAGTAATGACAGTTCTTGCAGCTTGTGATAGTAAGAGGTGTTAGACAGGACATAAGAAATGATCTTATTATTATTTTGTTATGAGAGTGCTGAGATACTGGAACGAGTTGCCCAAAGAGATTGTCAATGTCTCATCATCAGAAATGTTCAAAGTAGGTTTGGACAGGACTTTGAACGGCCTGAGTGTCCTGCTCACGACGAGAGGTTTGGATGATCTTGAAGAGTTTCTTCCAACATAAACCATTCCATGATTCTGCAGTACTACTGCAACAAGATGTCCTCATGCAATTATATTAACATGATTACAAAGGTTGCAAATAATATGTATGACACCAATGTATTACTAGAACAAATTAAGGAGCTCTACCAAAATTCTAAGCACCGCAGATATTATGTAAGATGTGAGATACTGAAACAAAGCTTTTAAAATCAATGACATTCAAATAGATGTAAAATAGTGTTTTTTTTCCTTCATGTGAAGATTACAGCTTAGCTACAAACAATAAGCAGAGCATCACCTGAATAAAATATTGCTTTCAGCTTAAATAGATTTTTAAGTACTAATCTCTGATATAAGCAACTGCTTAATGTAGTTGTAGGTTTTAACATAATGAATAAAGAAAAAAGAAAAAAAGCAAGATATTCATAACTTTTATTCTTGAAAATACAAAAATAGCTAAAAATCCCACTTAGAATTCAAAGGTGAAGGAAAATAGACCAAGAAGGAATAATAAGAAGGCAGAAGTTGACAGCACAGATGTCTACTAAACAGTTCAAGAGCCACCTTGAAGTGGCATGATCTTGGTCATCTTCCTTGTGGAAAAAAACAGCAGGTACCCAGTCTGCTCAGTAAGAAAACAAGGCATTTGCACTGAAAGACTTGAGTAGCTAAGGCATATTCCTACAAAGAGCTGCTGTCTGATGCACTCTACAGAGAGAGCAGCCATGGCCACAGATCCCTATGAGAGAGAAAACACTCCCCCTCTTAATTTCTTGCAGTACTGTTGCCTGAGCCATATTTTTTTATGTAAATGAATGTCTTCATTTTAGTCAGTAACACACATTTGAAACCAACAGTTTCATGGCATGCAATTTTCATTTCCAGGTACTTATCCATTTATTTCCCAGACCAAGCAAAGCACAAAGATGCAAAGTTGTTGTGTAAGACACACACAGGTGCACGCGCACACACACACACACAGAGTGCCTCTTCTTCCTCCTCACCAATAAGAAATTCCACGGGACTTGTTGAAACAAGGCCTCCAAAACCATGTGCTTTCTACTTAGAAATCAGGATTTGGAACCAGATCTTCAACCAGAAGTATTACTAGTAATCATTTTGGGTAGAACCGGGGATTTTTTTATTTTTTAAAGCTCCAAGTGTAATTTCATTTATATCAAAGATCTCACCTACGTGGGCCCATTTTTCTTACCCCATGCCATCCTTCCTTTGCACTGGCACAAGGGTTGATCAAAGTGGAGGAACTGATCTGTCGCCAGTAACCTGACAGTCTTAGTACTGACTTCTTTTTTCTAATAGCTTCCTTTAGGTTTCGTCAGCTTTCAGTGTAAATTCAGTTCTGGCTTAAATAAATGCAAAGGGCTTTAGGTATCCTCTTTGGCTGTGTGTAAACCCAAACTAGACATTTTGGAGTTTTGAACTTGAACTTGACATTTTGAACCCCTCCTTTGCTTCAGTCTTTACTGCTAGGATTGGAAGCCCCGGACCCTGGAGGTAAGAGAATTTGGAAAGGAAGATTGTCCCTGGGTCAAGGAAGATCTGGTGAGAAATTGACTAGACAAATCAATGGGATGCACCCACATGTGCTGAGGGAGCTGGTGAAAGTGACTGCCAAATTGCTATCATCTATGTTAAGGGCACAGAGAATGAAGGAGGTGCCTGAAGACTGGAGGATAACCAATTCACTCCAGTCTTCAAAAAGGGCAAGAAGGAGGATCCAGGTAACTGCAGGCCAGTCAGCCTCACCTCCATCCCTGGAAAGGTGATGGAACAACTTGTTCTGAATGCCATCTCCAAGCAATTAAAAGAGAAGAGGGTTATCAGGAGTAGTCAGCGTGAGTTCGCCAAGGGGAAACCATGCTTGATCAACCTGGTAACTTTCTAAGATGGCGTGACTGTCTGGGTAAATGCAGGGAGATCAGTGGGTGTCACATACCTTAACTTCAGCAAGGCTTTTGACATCGTCTCCCGTAACATCCTCATAGGTAGGCTTCGGAAGTGTGGACTGAGAACTGGCAGAGCTCAGAGGGTTGTGATCAGCAGCTCAGAGCCTGGTTGGAGGCCTGTAACTAGTGGTGTTCCCCAGGGGTCGGTGCTGGATCTGATCTTCTTGAACATCTTCATCAACAATCTGGATGGAGGGGTAGAATCCACTCTCAGCAAGTTTGCTGATGATACAAAGCCAGCTGACTAACACAGCAGATGGCTGTGCTGCCTGCCATTCAATAAGACCTGGGCATGCTGGAGAAGAACCTGACGAGGTTCTACAAGGGCAAGTGTAGCATCCTACCTGCTACCTGGGAAGGAATAATACTTGCACCAGTACAGGTTAGGGGACAACCTGCTGGAGAGAAGCTCTGAGGAACAGTACCTGGGTGTTCTGGTGGCCAACAGGTTGGCCATGAGCCATCAGTGTGCCCTAGTAGTCAAGAATGCAATGGTAACCTGGGTGCATTACAAAGAGCGTGGCCAGCAAGGCAAGAGAGGTGATCCTCCCCCTCTACTGTGCCCTGATGAGACCACTTATGGAATGCTGTGTTCGGTTCTGAACTGGGGAGCCCAAGAAAGACAGAGAACTTCTATGAGAGCCCAGCAGAGGGCCACAAAGATGGTGAGGGGCCTGGGGCATCTCCTGTGCAAGGACAGGCTGAAAGACTTGGGGCTCTTCAGACTGGAGAAGACCATGAAGGAGGTCTTACCAATGCTAAATATGTAAAGGGTGAGAGGTAAGTGGATAGGGCCAAGTTCCACTCAGTGGTGCCCAACAACAGGACAAGGGCAACGGGCACAGACTGGAACACAGGAGCACTGGAACAGAATGCCCAAAGAGGTGGTGGTCTCCTTCTCTAGACATATTCAAGATCTGTCTGGACACATTCCTGTGTAACTTGCTGTAGGGAACATGCTTTATCCAGGGGCCAGGCTGGGGGACCTACAGAAGTCCCTTCCAACCCCTCGCAATTCTGTGATTCTCTGTGATTTTCTCTCTTAAAGTAAGCTTCCAGTTCCTCTTTTTTTTTTTTTTTAATACCTTTAATGTCATTATCCCTAACCTGATGCTAACATTAATACTGAGAAGTAATAGCAACATTAAATCAAAAATACTGCTCTGAGGGCATGGGAAGAAAAACAGAATCTGAAACAACTCTGTAGGAAAAAAAAACACAATAGTTTTCTAGTTAGCTTGCATTCAGAGGAAACAGCAATCACTGTTCAGACAAGATGCTCTACACCCTCTTTGACTTTAGGGGCCTTGGGAAATGTTAATATTAAATAATTAAATTTGAATCCCATAGTTCTGAATGAGAGTGTACCAAAGCCAACAAAACAACAGTTTTGGGAAATCTGAAGGCAGTGGAATACTTGCTCCTGAGTTGCTCTTCAGTTGTGATGTCCTTCTGCATATGTCACTGCAGCTGTGCTGCTGTCTGACAACCTGGTGATAAAGGATTTCATAAAAGCCAAACTAGAAGTACTATTTAAAATTTTCTTCTTAAGTGCATAAAGCTTTAATTATCACTGCTTGGCTGGAAAGCTTATAAATATTTGAACAGTAGTAAGAAGTAGTTTACTTTTACATATAGCTTAGCATAAATTGGGGTCACGTCATCATCAAAATAGCAGCATCTTCTCCCAGATCATTTTCAGAGGATCATGTTTCCTGCTCAGTGCTGGGAATAACTCATTTTTGTGAGAGCCACTGAATCTTTATAATGTAGTTTCAACCTTTTAAAACATTGCTTATATCCAGAGCTCCATTTTTGTCAGAACAGACTGTTCCACGTGACTTTGAGGCGCATGGCAGAGTTATGTTTTAATCTGTGGTTCCAAAGATAATTGGCAGAGTTCCACTAAATATTAAATATGATTCCCCACAAAGGTTTTAAACCTGAATGTTGACTAAGTGTATAACTTGAGAGTTTTGACTATTTCATCTCAGACATTTGTACGCTACAGCTATGAATATAAATGGTACCAGGGTCAAAATGTTTTCCTGTGGAAGAAAAGAAATATCTATAATTAAATAAACAAAAATTTATCCCAGTGAACTCGTTCTAATTTGCTCAAGTTTCTTACATACCAGACATCATTTGGCAGAATTTTGGGCTGAGTAAAACTCCTCTGTGACTGTAAACGCGCTACCTACACAGGTGGTAGGGATTCCTTTACCAACACTGTGCTATTCCCAGCTGTTCTCTTCTCTCAAGTCATACAAGGTTCATTTCCCATTACAACTCTTTGTCATGTAGCATACCTTTAACTTCAGAGCCTGCCAACATTACCGTTGTGAACTCCTCTCCACTGGGGATCACATTACGAAACCAGGCACTCCATTTTCTACTTGTTTCATTCATAATGACTAGTGGATGGGATCCTCAGCCTTCTGTGCCTGTTAGTAGCTTCCTGGATGTTTCTCACTGACTGTTTTATTCAGGCTAATATATTTAGTCCAACATCAGCAAAAGTATTTTCATTATACTACACCTGATTTCAACTGCAGAAAGACCTCCCGATGCCTTAGATGTACTTCTATAAGCATCCTTATTTGGTGCAAGACAGAGTAAATATAATCCCAACTTAACAGAATTCCCTGTCACTCATGAGGGCATTTGATTTGACCTTACTGTGTTCCTGTTATGCCTCAATATTGCTCTTAAGAACACTTTATTATTATTACTGTTTACTTGAAATCCCACAGCAACAGCACATTGTGCAGACGGGGTTATCTGTTCAAGCTAAGAACTAAACACAACCTCAGATTTGTTACGCATCTGTAAAGCATACACATGAAGTTTCACATGGAGAGATCACATCATACATAGGACCACTTGCAACTTTGTTTGAGGTGAAACATCTGTTTTTCTGAATATTCCTCACACCAAAAAAAAAAAGTTTATGCAAACCCAGAATGTTCCAGTAAGATTTCACTGAGATTTTATGTCATCTGTCTAATGAAACTACTATAAAAATACGTTCTCTATAGACATCAGTGTAATTGCATATCACAGATACCTTCCCCTGCTGCCTTCTGTAATGTCCTCACATACCAACATTGCAGGGAAAGTCAAGTACAGCAATTATAAACCTACTCCAGATGCTCAGTTCGATAAGAATTTCTCTGAGGATCGTTGCTCAAATTAAAAAGCAGCAGCTAGGAATTGCGAGCAACTGGACCCTTCAAAATGGTAGGAAAACATCCTACTCCAAGGAGAGATTCACATCTCTCGCATGAAACTGGCTGAATTTAGAATAAGAGTGGTACTGGAGCACAAAGAGAAGCCATGTACCTGTTTTTGGCAGCCAGTGCTTTGTTTCTGACTCCAGTAGCTCCATGCGTCGTAGCCAAGCTTTCCGCACGTTCTCCATTATTTTCCTTGTTGGTTTGAAGGGCGCGTTCTCCTATTGGAAAACCACAAAGGATTGGTATGCATGACATGCTGCAACTTTCTGCCACCCTTCTGGGTCTTTCCTCAGTGCTGCAGAGTCTTGTAGAGGGCAGGTGTTCTCATGTGGACTTCACAACGTATTCCTCATCGTTACAACTCGGTGAAGAGTCCTGGGAGCAGCATGCTGAGTGTTCAGTACAACACTCTTTTAACATTTACTTGGCTGTAATTTCTGGTGCTGTCACATGCACATTTCCACTCATACTGCATCCATACCAGTGTTAACACTTCAGTTATAAATGTCTAAACCATGAAGAATTATTGATTTAATGCCAGCATATTGGAAGCACACGGCTTACTATCTAGGCCTCTGTTCCAAAACCATCACTTCCTAGGTGATGCCATCTGGAAAGCAATGTATGATGCAGAGACCAAACCTGCAGACAGAACCCTTCCTTGGAGAAGATAAGAGGTATACCAGCTGAACTCTTAAATTTGGCTCCCAATTTTTAAGCATGACTCTAAATCCCATTGGAATCTCACTTAGGATGGATCAATTCTGAATTTTTTTCCTGTTCGTTCAATTTCTGTCACTGTCACCATGGTGATAAGCTCTGTGGGAAATAACAGAATCCTTTAAAATATGTTCAATAGTCACCCGATATCAATTTTAATGTGTGCTATGCTTCAGGTATTAGTTCAGAATACTGTTAACATTGAGGTCCAATGTACTACTGTAAATACTATTAAACTGCATTGATCTATCTACTAATGGCATCAGAAGACATTTACTGCCCTTTAGCGTATAGTACTTCACTTTTTTTGGTCAAGTTCCAAAGTTTAGCACTGCATATGGGCAAGCCCCATAGCTTCCTATTTATTTATTTAAGAGGAGAATTAAACCATAGAGCCAGGGCATTATCCACGGCTATTAGCAACGCACTTCAGCTGAAAAGGCTTTAAGGATTTATTCAGCAGTATCAGCGGTAGTTCTACAGACTGCCTCTCCATTTTATGCTCTTTGCATTATTGTGCACTGGTTTTATTTTTCCATCATACTATTTTGCTATTTGCATTCACTTCAGTAGGGGACTACATGCGGTGAATTTTAAGTATAGAATTATCCAAGGAATGTATACATACCTTGCTATATTTGGCATGAAAAATAAGGAACAGAGTTTGCAAACAAGAAAATAAATAAGCTAGATATATCATAAACAATACGGGGAAAAAGCATTATTTAATCACAGGCAGTAAGACATCATTATCTTGGACTTAATGTTGCCAAGCAACATAACCAGTACAGAAAGCTACATAGCAAAACAGTTACTGTTAATGAATCATAAGTATGGAAATGTCCAAAGTAACATAGATTACATTGATAACATTATTATATTTCATACACAATCTCATTTGTACGAGCCAGATAAGTCATTATAAAAGTACAACATCTCATTGCCCTTTCTTCATTAATTTTTAACTTTGTTGAGCCGTTTATCACTGTCCAGTTACACAGCATAGAATATATAGTCCTAAAGACAGTGCATAAGAATGGAAAACAGAATGAATGTCAAGTGAGGGTAGAATTTTCAAAATACATTTTCTCTTAATTCTCATACTGTGGAAAATGTCTTACCTGAAAACCTCGTGTGCTGCTCCTTACCTCCTAAGATGCTTCGGTTGTGGAATTTAAAGATCCACTAGGAATCTTGTTCTCTAGGACTAAGCCCTACTTTTCATTGCAGGTTCATCAGACAATTTGTCCTAAAGGCATAAAAATCTCCCTAGGAACTATCAGCAGAAAGACAAAATGAGTAAATTACACTAAGTCTCCTTAAAGCACTTGGCTGACAAGATCAATTTCATAGAACATCCCAGTACATAGAGATTCTGTTCCAGGTATTTACTAAATAAGGACCCTGATGTGAAGAGAGTCTAAACACACCAAAATGATGGTTGCCACACAATGCCACACAAAAAATAACTGTCCATGTCAAGCAAAGTAGATAAATTGTACAATGGAATTAATGCATTACTGTCTGATTCCGCCTTGTTGGAAGTATTTTCAGTTTGGGCATTGCTAAGAGCCCCCACTGCTAGCACCACCTTCATGAGAAGTCACAAATTCATCTGCTGCTGCTGCACTAAAGCAAGGCTATCTTTACCCAGTCTTTAGACTTCTAGTTTAAAATGAGGTCAGCAGAATCCAGTTTCAAGCCCAAATTAAAAGAAGATTTTCTTGAAAACAAAAGAATTTGCTGTACATGTACCATCACATGCACCTGTAAGCCCCATTTTTTAAAGAAGCTGAAGTTCAGCATATGCATATTATGTGTCTGCAGCTTCATAAGTTTGAGACTGAAATACAACTTAATCTAAATAAAAACCACAGCAGCTATTCCACTACTCCTTCTCACAAGATTCATAGTACCTACAGTAATTAGTTTCTAATAATAACTAATAATTTTGTTTTCTCTCTATTTCCTCCATCTTCCACACTTGGTGGGCTGTGGTTGGACATGACCCTTTGTTGCACCACCTCCTCCACCTCCTGCTTTTTACATACAGGTTGTATTCAGGGTTAATCTTGACCTTTGGGGTCTTCCAATTGGAACTGAAAGAAGTTACCATTACTTTAAAGATACAAATTGCATAACTGAAGATCTTTGTTGCTTCGTACTCATCCCGAGGGCTTTTATTCCTGAGCATTTTTCCTCAGCTGATTCATTGGCCATGAAGCACTGCAGCGAGACAGGAAAAAAAACAAACCAACATTAAATGTCCAGTGAAAGATTTCTGCTGACTTCAGTAAACATTAGATCAAGCAAATAACCATCCATCAAACAATGTTGATTAATGAGTTCCAGTGAGAATAGATTTCATTAGTGAAGCTAACAGAAAGAAAATACCCATTCTCGTTTCTCTTCTATAGGATGGAACACAGAGTTACAGCACCTGGGCAGTGACCTTTTCAGCTGGTTACCAGCATATAGCCTCAATGAAAAGAACTATTATACTAACATCTTACATAGGAACCACAGCAGAGGTCAAATAATTAACAGTCCAGGGAGCACGGGGTGCTTTTAACAAACCTGAAACTAAACACAAGTCTTCTGCAACCCAGCTGAATGCCTAAGAGAACAATTAGCCATCCCACCACAGAAAGAGCCCTCTCTCTTGATGGATATCAGCTGTCTGCTTCCCTAACCTCTCCAGCACACAGCTTTGTGTAATGCAGGTCGTGCTCTGGGCTGAACAAACATCCAGATTTCTTTAGCTTAGGTTCACCTTCAATCAGACAACACCAGCTTTCTTGTTCTCTTACTTTTGTGCTCAGGAGGAACAGCCATCCCTCCCCACTGGCATTACCTAAATCGTTTGTTTGGACTAATCCAAATCCATGCATGGAAATCATTTGTGTTAATAACTGCACTTTTTCATCTGCTGATTTTTTTTTTTTTTCCCCTTCAGTAATATTTACATACACTACTTTTAACCAACCCTTATTATTCCATCTTACTTAAGAGCTATTTAATATAATAGCTTGCTTTCTTTTCTTCATATATACTCCAGAAAGATAAGGAAGCCCATGGAAAAAAAAAAAAAAAGAGGGAGGGATGGAGGGGTTAAAAAAAAGGGAGAACCGTCGTTTTCATAGCTCTGTAATAATGAATAAATAGTTATTGCAACCACTGAAGTAAATGACCCCTCTAGCAATTACTACATCTCTAGAGCTGATGAAAATTGTGATCCCTGCGTGGTCTCCTTAAGGGCACATCTAATTTTAAGGACAAGCTGTTATCTTCCTCTGATCAGAAACTCTTTCTTTTCTTCCTGAGCAGGGCACTGACCTGAGGTCTCCCTATAACTCATGGTAACTGTTCTCCTGTGTTCTGAGTGCACTTCAGCACCCACAGAGCCGTGCTCCTTCAGGTGATGACAGAAATCAGCTGATCACTGCCTCACATTTGTAATCCAAAATAACCAGTTCAGGACAAAATCACTAGAAAAAAAAACCTAGTGAACGGCAATGCTAATAGAACAAGATTTGCATGAACTTTGCTCACACCTAGACTGAGCTAGAATTTCTTTTTCTAAGTGAGAACTTACTTTCCACACCCTTTGCCCTTCTTTCACTCTTCTTGACATGAACAAAACAAGGATTCATGGCTGGATCAAGCCCACTAAGTGCCTGGGCAGGATCTTTGCTCTGCCCCCAAAGTGCTGCATTTCAGAGGAAGGGGATACAAACTTGGCACAGTTGGGTACCTACTCAGTGACTGAAGAGATAACTTGGATGGCATCAGAGAGGAAAAAAAGGCATCCTGCTGCCATTTACCTCCATTCCTTGTCCCCACCAGTCATTCCATCCTGTGCATCATGTTGTTTTCCAGTCAACTGGCTTTTTAAGACAGCGTGCCACGCTGTAGTCATATTCATCCTTAACCACAACGCTTCCTCTGCCTTGAACATAATTCTCTTAAGTGCTCCAATATGTTTTTCCTTTATACTTAGTTAACATTTCATAGTTCAAACTGTGGAAGTGTGAGATTTTTGCTTGCTTCCTCATTTCACACCCCAGCATCTCCTTTTGAACTGTGTGCTTTTCTTCCTCTGAACCTTCCCGGTTGTGCAAGATGGTTGGCTGCAAATGGCACATGAATTATGCACCCAACATTCCCCTTCATCTTTTTTAAAGGCTCTGAACAGTTGTTCGATCATTAAAAATATATGCATAAATAAAAGTCAATTGAATTAAAATAACAGTAATCTGAAAATATTCTGCACCTGGTACAGTACTTTTCCCTTAGGCACATGGGAAAAGCTCTGCTGTAATATCTGAGAGCTGCTGTGGCTTTTTATCCTTCTAATCTCATAATCATTATTAATGTTTTTAAATTCCAGATGGTAGCTACCAACAAACTTGGAATAGAGAGCAAAAATGACATACCCCAGTTTCCATCAGAAGCTTGATTTGGGAGATTATATGCTTCTGTGCATTTCCAAGCCACTGCCACAAGCTTTCTGGACTACACCCAGTTCCCAGTAGCCTGCACAGGAAAAAAGATGCCAATACTTTTGAGATCTCAAAAGTATTTTTATTCTAGATTAAATACAATTTTTTTTTTCTCCATTAAAAAAAAAAAAGACTTGCTCTAAGTTTGAATTTCACCACCAGTTAAATTCCTTCTGGTTGGTCATTATAATTCCGAAACTCTGCATGTGAAATTCTCAGTAAAATGTTTTGGGTGTTTTTTCCTGGAAAATGTTTCCAATTTGACAAATGACATTTAAAAAATAAATCATAATGATGGCAAAGGCTCCCACCAAGTACAGTATGACGCATTTTGTGTCATCGTAGACCTGCAGCCCAAATCTCAACAGTCCTCTAGTGCTTCAAGACAAGAAGTGAATCTGACTGTAGGACTATGCAGCTTTAATAGCTACACATTTGATCATAGCTACACCTTAGTCTTGGAAAGCATGAGAGAATTGCACTTATGATTTCATAGAAAGTAAGCTCACTCAGCAGTCATAACTCATGAGACCTGTACTACTTCACTGGCATTATAAGCAAATTCTGCTCAGCCATACAAGTTCTGAGCTTTCCATACAGCTTTTTTCTTTACAACTGACTGTACCCAACATTAAGAGTAGATGTTAAGTTTCATCACACAGTTGAAAATCAGACATCCTATTTATTTAACAGAGCTGACTAAGCTTCCTGTGACAACCGGTGATGAGCTCCATTTTGCAAGCAGCAAGTGGACAGAGGAGCAACAGCAACCCCGACACTGAAGGGCTAAGTAAAAGTTTCTCTAATCCATGAGATTATATTGTACTGAAGGTACAACAAGGCCACACGGTTTATTGAAAACATACATTCTTACTTCTAGCTGTCTCTTATGTTTCCATATTACACTGTGCTCCGTAAGAATTTATAATAGCTGGCACCTTATCATTTGAAGTTAATATTAGCAATTTCTTATACTCTTAGTGCTTGTTTTCTCAGAAGATGAATTTATCCTAAATGCAATACCAGTAGAATGCCAAGCTTATATGAGTGATGGTAAAAATGAAGTATCTTATTTTACAAACCAGCAGCCCTGAAATAGCTGCATTAGTGTAGCAACAGTAAGTACAGAGCTCACAGAAACACACTGAGTTTGGTAAATACAATCATTATTTCTCATCTCTTGATGGCCTTGTATGCAGCCACATGAATGGAAAAGTCAATCATTACCAGCGCAAGCCTGGCATTAACTCTTTTTCCAGTTTCTAATTGTTATGTTTTTACTCAGAGGCCAAACAATAGAGACTGACTGCTTCTCTCATTCTCAGATCCAGCTCCTGTTGAGCCATGGCAAAACTACCAGTATGCTGAATTGGTTTTGATTGCTTCTCGCATTCCACCAATATACTTGAGCAGGCAAGACCTTAATTGTGCTAGAGCAATAATAGCAGAGCCAAGACTTTTCTTAAGAAATAAACCCATTTAACTATTTGTTAGAAGTCCACCTCCTGACTGTCCCCACTCACCTGCTTCAGCTCATACAGTGGTGTGCACTAACTAGACTGCTTTCAGATGAAACCAAATTGGAATTGCACTTCAACTGCAAACAAGCATTCAGTTCACAGAACAAGATCCTAAACGATCAGCTCATCGTCAAACCCCTCATCCCACCAAAATGCACATATACTGAGTATCTTGAGCCTGCACCAACACCTGCATGTTTCTGTACATCCACATCCACTGATCCACGCAATTTCCTACACCGATGCAGCCTATGGAACCAAACAGCTCACAGATCAGTCTTAAGTTCCTTCTCACTTGGGCACTGTAGGAAAAGTAATTCTCTTTCTGTTCTTACTGTCAAAACAGTAGATGGAACAACTTCTGACTTACCAGGTCAGTACAGTCCTCAAGGCTTTGCAAAATAACAAGCACTTCAGCCTAAGGCTTGCCCTCTCAAAAAAGACAAATATAGGCCATACATACACAAATATACGTACCGATTACATTTTGTAATTTGCTAAACGCTTCTGGAGATGACATTATCAACTGAGAGAGAGCAAGGGATGTATTCTAAATGTTAATACTTGCAAACTTTAATGCATATTTTCACAAAGTAATGCATGTTCAGTATATATCAATTCTGTGCAAGAAGCACTTCAAATTACTGGTTTGCATGATTCTAGCAGAATTAGTCTGACCTTCCTTTATAGAGAGATCTTTTCAGGTGAAATAGTTGGCTCTTCTCATCTGATCTCAAACTGAGCCACTTCCCACCTCCCACAGTAAGCTGTAGCCGTGCTCCTGCTGTAGCCGTGCTCCTGCTGTAACATACTCTGCTGAGCAGGACTGCTCGTGCATTAACAACTTCTTGCAAGAATTCGCAGGCTCAAAACATAATCAGGGTGACCCATTTTATGCATTTAGGCAATTTTCAGACTGTACTAAACAGTGTGGGAATATACCACGTATCAAGCTTGTTCCGAACATTGGGTGGGGGAAATGTTTTTCTTGTTTCTTTTGGAGGTTTTGTTGTTGTTGTTGTTCTTTAAAACAAAAACTCTATGCCATTCCATACAGATAGCTAAAACAGGGTTGCTAATGCCATGGCATTTTGGAAATGGTGCCTATTATTTTAAGGCTTGTTTGATAAATTGCCATCATTAAGAACTTTGAAATGACTGGATCTAATGCAGCCACGCAGGTAAATCAGAGCAGCATGATGCCTGCCCTTGGCTCTTGTTAAGAAAAGGCTGCAGCCCAACTCAGGCACACGTAACAGAATAGACTGACTGCTGCTGCATCACTACCATGTAGAATGGAAAAGGAGCAAAGGACAATATAGCAGAGCAGAGACAGCATACATGCATAATGGGAAATGCTTTTTACTTCTCTGTGCAGTAGCATGCAAACTTTCTCACCTCTGCCTTCCCAAGGAAACAGAATTTGAGTCTTAGAAACCATGTAATCAGTGACTCTGTTTGAAATCAAATTAATGATAATATTATCAAAATAAATCTCTCTTAGATACAGAGATAGCTAATAACATACACACAGTTCATACTTGAAACAAACTTGGAGAAATGCTCTATATTTACCCAATTCTTAACTGCAAAGGTACAGGACGAAGACACACAGCACATTTTGGTTACATTGAGCACAGTGAATACCACTTAGCTTCACCTCCAGCTTTAGATCAGCATTGCTGCCCTGCACAACCTTACAGTCAGTAAAGGGAGAAACGCGTTTTCAAGAGAGGTGCAACATCAAAGCCCTCGAACAGACAATTCCTCTTTTATTTCTGCAAAGAACTTCACTGAAGAACGTTACAGAATCACAGAATGGCCAGGGTTGGAAGGGACCTCAAGGATCACGAATCTCCATCTCCCCTGCCACATGCAGGGCCACCAACCTCTACATTTAATGCTAGACCAGGCTGCCCAGGGCCCCATCCAACCCAGCCTCGTGCACTGCAGAGGAGCCGGATGGCCTTCAAGTGTTCCTTCCAACTCAAACGTTTCTATGGTGCTATAAAATTGCAGTTGAAGATGCTCATATTATTATTCACCCAGTCCAGACCATACACTCTGCATCACTATGGGCTGGGTGTATCTATTGGTGTCCACTTATGATAACTTGAAAAAGCAATAACACTTCTATTTTCTGGGCACAATACTAAAGAAGAGGCAAGCAGCCTCCACCCCAGGGCAGGAAAACACATCAACACAGCAAGGAGAGGCTGTGTGGGTGGGGAATTTCACTGCTGCCAGTGCTATGGAACCTCATGTAGCTGTGAAGTAGAGAGAAAAAAAAAATACTACAGAGGCTGCAGTAGATAGAAAGCCAAGGGCATGAGCCCAAGCAAGCAGCAGGACTGTGGCTCTGAAGCTCGTAGAGAGGCTCTGGGCTAAATACTGACTTAAAGGCTGACTTAAAGGCTGACTATCTCAGCTGGGAGCTGAGAACAGAAAAAAGCCGTCGCTCTCCTCTCTCCCCCTTCCCACCCTAAGACTTAATTCCCAGCTGCACCTTGCTTATGTGGCAAACGTTGATGGATGAAGTTTAGACATGGGACTTAGCAAATCCACATAAGGAAGGTTCACAATGTGGGTTCACAATGCTTGTCTTGACCAAATTTTAGAATGTGCAAGATTTTTTTTTTTTCCCCTTTTAGTATTTATCACATAGTTTGACTGGACTCTTAGATTGTGGAGTATACATTTTCTTTGCTTATTAAGTAGAATCAAAGGCTTACTGAATTAATACACAACCCATCATTAGATTCACATTTTTTTCCTCTACAGCCTGATCTCCTCTAATATTTAAGATTGCTGGGGTCCAGAAAACCCATATCTACCAGAAACCTTTGCAGGTAGTTATGTTAGTCAGATACTGAACAGGTGAAATAGATAAAGAACTCTCTTTAAATGGAATTCATGTGTGACAGAACAGAACACTTTGTCTCTGGTATTTATGATTTTACTATCACATCTATAAGGAATAAATACACTTTATAGACCAGATGTTTCTGGAAGAATTCATCACTGTCAAAGCAGCACTCCTGCCTTCAGGAATTTCAGAATGGCAGCTGAAAAGGTGTCCTATTTCCTATGTTTTTAATATAATATTAAAATATTGTGTTTGATTTGCTCTTAATTACAAGAGGTAAGGATGTAATTTACTTAATGAGACAAGGCTAAATATAGCAGAAAGGGGTACTATAAAACCTAATGAAATTTTGCAGCTGCTTTTATTTAGGGAAATAATAAATTCTAGCCAAGAAGCTGAAGGATTGAAAGGGGAAGCAAATTCTCATCACATGCCTGAAGATTGAACAGCTATTCACCAGGGTACTAATAATCTTCAGAGCCAATAGCTCAAGATCTCATTAATGCACAGAATAGATTAGGGATATTAAAACACTCAGGTCTGGCTGGTTGCTCAGACATGCAGCATCTCACTAAGTATGAAATCTCACTTAGTTCTACCCCAGCTTTTTGTCCAATTTTACCTAAGTGCTTTTCAACTGGGAAAGTGGCCTACGAACTTCTGTACTGCCTATTTCATTTCCCAAATTGGCAAAATCAATTCACATTTATTTTAGGACTACAAGCTGCAGTTTCTCTATCATCAAAGGTTTGTTCTTGCATCGGTTCAGAAAATACAATGCATTATAAAGCCTTAAGAGTATAAAGAACAACAGACGTAGCAGTTTTTCAGATCCTCTGATTGTACAACCATCCTTCTCATACACAATCATCACACCTAAACATGCTCTAAAATACAACAGCAACTACTCTGTACAACCTGTCTATCTACAACCCCTAAGGCTGTAAAAGGAAAAAAAAAAAGTTGTCTTTAGCTAAATGAATCTCTTCCAGGAAAGAGACAGCTTGTTCCCTCATTAAAAATTGAAGGAAAATAGGCACAGAAATTGAGGGAAATAGGTAAAAGCATGGATCTTGTTCTATATAGTGTATTTAGTTTAATTAAATGTTATATCTTGAACAGTTCTAAATACATTCACTTGACTCATCTTTTGGAAGTGCTAAAATACAGTTTAATCACTGTCCACTCTTGCTAAGTGTTTTGGTGGGCATTTTGACAGTGAAAGGCTACAGTCCCATACAGCAGTTCATACCAAACTCAGCAGCTGGAAGCTCTAGCTTTAAGGCTCAACATAAGATCCACTTGTTTCTGTTGTTGTTTTTAAGTGAAAATAATTAACTATTGCAAACAGAATCACAGAACCACCAAGATTGGAAAAGACCTCCAAGATCATTTAGTCCAACTGTCCACCCACCACCAATATTTCCCCATTAAACCATGTCTGTGTTAAGTTCTCTGGCATTTAAGCTCTTCAGATCAGGATTAAACATTTAATGGATCTTTCATGGAAATCATTCAGGTAGATCAGTATTATGTAAAGTGCCTCCACAAGGGGATGGCACTCTAAGCACAAAAGGATTTACCAGTCAACATGAGAATCTGCAAGACACTTTCAAGCCTTCAGAAATCAGCGAGCCACATCTTATAAAGCCAATCTGAAACAAACAAATATCTTGAAGTACTTCCTCACCTGCATCTTTAAATCAGCCTATAATAACAACTTTAGCTGCTGGACTTTTCCATCTAGGCTTTTTCTGTTCACTCTGAAAACAGAAGCATGTATTTCTTCTCATATGATTACTAAAAGCAGTCAAATTGTTGATTCCTTTTCAGGTGGTGCTATCCCTGCAGCCATCCTTTCCTTTGACTAACAATTTCTATGACATATTTCCTCATCTTTGTTCCCTTATTAGCAAAGCAAGCAGTAATCAGGATGGAGGAAAAAAAACCCAACAGCATATAACCTTGCAGACCAGTGAGATGAAAAAAGAACACCATGGAGGACAAGGAAAGACAGACTTGCTAGGTCTCTCGGCAGTTGGCATGGCGCAGCATCTGACTTCTTGTCTACAATGGCTGCAGACCTTCTAATTCTCAGGTGAAAGAAGCCACTTTTTGTCTTCTCAACCAAAGGAAATTCATTTTTCCCCTCACCTCTTGGGCATTAAAATACAAGCTCATTCATACTGCTTAGAAATACTGGACTTGTTTTGAATTTATCTTACAGTAGAGTCAACCTACGCTACTCCCCAAGCTGACTCTTTTTTCACTTTCCACCTCTCATCTCCTCTACCAAGCCTGTTCCAGTGAACCTCTCCCCAAAACCTAGATTTCAGAGGTTTGTGCAGCAGTTATGCCCGTTGCTCTACTAATTCTAGTCCCTTTGAATGGACGGCAGACTTTTCCCTTTCCTTTGCTGAAACTTGCCTTATCAAAATGACCAGGGAGACAGAATCCAAACCTCATCTTCACAGAATCTTTAATCTTTTTGGGTGATTTATCAATTTTTATTATGTCAAAAAAAAAAAAAAGTAACTCCTCTCTCTACAACTTTGTCTCATTGAATAAGCTGATATAAGACCAAGTTTTTTGTCCTGCAGCCTGAGGGAAGCTTTGTGCCTGCTGTTTCTGTCATCTAAATGACATCATATGCTCTCAACATTTCCAAAAGTCCTACGCGTCTTTAGGTGATCTAAATCTCTTCTTACCACTAGCTGTACTCCCAGTTTCCAATCTCAGCAGTACAACTGATTGTGGGCCTTATTATCAATTTCAGCCAACAAGCTAAAAAAATATATTTTTTCAACTTTGTTGGATGTTTTTTCTCTTCTTTCAAACTTTCTTCTGCCTATTTCTTCCTTAGCTAACCTGCTGCCAAATCTCATTTTTCCCTTTCAGATTGTTCTCTAAAACATCCTTCCTGTCTCTGATCCTTAAACCACAGTAGAGACTTCTGACATTACCCATTTTCCTGCTTGTCTCTCTGGTTTCTTCGGTGTACTGGCAATACTGCTGCTGAAAATACCTTTTGGCATCCAGTTTTCTCTTTTCTTTACATTCCACATCAGATCCAGGCTTATCACTTTCAGCTTCAGAACTATATAATATAGTTCCCGCATATATTTAAACCTCAGACATTAGTTCAGCCTACAATGCAGTTTGAGTTCTTCATTCCAAATGCCCTGTTTCTGAGTCCTTCCCAAAGTATATTCTGCAAGAAGAAAGAAAAAAAAAAAAAAGACACTTTCTGTCAGAAATATACTTCTGAAATTCAAGATCAGCAATTATCAGTCCTACAGCTGCAGAACAAATTATATTACAGCTGATCACAGCAACACTCCATCCATGTTTAGTCTGGAATGTATCGCTGAACTTGTTTTACATCTTTCCACGAATAACAGCGAAACTGAACATTAACAAGGACAAAATCAGTAATTGATTATTTGAGTTTTATGAATAGGCAAGGTGAGGAACAATATCCTATATGAAGAGAGAAAGAAAGGATGAAGTGGCTACAATAGGTAGATGTCAAGAGAAACAGTACGTGTCATAAGGAAAGCCAGTTGTTTCAAAGTATTTTGGCTCTGATTCTCTCTGATTCTGTGTTGTGCAAGTTCTCCTTATTATGATTTGCACTTAAGACTTCCCTATGGAAGTGAGGCAATAGCCAATTGAACAAGGGGACTACGATAGTTTCACAGTAATTACTGTACCATCAGCCACGTATAACCTAGAACAGATGTCTTCCACTGGGCTGCCCACTGACTAGAAAAATGGGCATGTCCTTAGAGACCTGAAGATCTGCCCCATCAAACTTCTACATTAGTCCATTTTCAAGACCTTGCAAGGGCAGAGAAGTCATTTTAAAGCAAATGCCTAAATCCAGAAAAGCTTAATTCAGAGTTCTGCTCTGGATGCATCTGTAATATTCAGTCTCTGTCTAGCATTCGGTGATAAAAGTGGATTTTCTTACCTTTCAGCCCACCTTGCCTTGTGGAGCTAATATAACTACAATAAACTGAGTGGAATTCTGCCTGCTTTTTTTCTGGCTCTACACAAGTGCAATCTCATGAAAACAATACTTTCCCTAGCACAGCCCCAAACATTACAGCTTAATGGTACCTTCTACAATTGTTAACAAGAGAAAGCAAAAATGCCATCTTGAGTCATGCCTCAAAACAAAGGGCTTGCACTCAGGAGCCCTGCTACTTCTGAACTGAGCACACAAATACAAGCATGCTGCTCCAAACAGCTACTTTCAGTCAATTCAGGGAGAAAAGACAGCTGAAACTTAAACCACTTCCAAACTTCACATTTCAGTGCTTGAGCAAGAACAAAGGCTATCAGGGCTGTAATAAATTTTAAGATTGTGTAATTATTTGAACCTGCCCTTCCTTCGCAGGGAAACACATAGCAGGAACCTGCTGCCTTGAACTGTACCTTCCAGCCCTACAGCTGTTTAAGATCATTTCTGTAGCTATACGCTTTACCTCTTTGGAGAGCACGTGGCAATGATCGCCAGCTTCAGGAAAGCAGCAAAGTCACTTAGAGAAAAATGCATGTGGCAATAACTCAGCGATCTGGAGTCATGGTTCCAGAGCTGCTGGGGACACAGACTCATGCAACTTTCTGTCAGATTTTTTATGCAACTGTGCAACTACTTTCTGTATAAGGAATGAAAAACATGAGCCCAAGCCAACTGACAAGATTTATTTGCGTGTTGCCACATTCCAGTTCTCTAGACATGCATCTTTAACCATTTTTTCTTCTCACACAGCTGTATTCCAATTATGAGTATTCTGTTTCATTTTTTCTGGCTGTTACAGAAGATACTGAAAAAAAAAGAAAATCTATAGACATACATTTTTCAGTGAACTTACTTTAGTAATACCAAGGCAGCTCTTGCATTTACTTTCAATGAGCACTCAAACCATTGTGTTTTCCTGACATAAACGCCTGTGGAGAGAGAATGAACGACAAGGTCTTAAGCCAAAGCATTTGTGGCAACCTAGCTCATCATTCAATTCAGAAATGAAGTGCACTCATTCCTTTAATAAATAGAAAAAAACAAGCTATCATGATTTATGATTGGGTACCTCTAAGCAACACAACCTGAAAATCAAAAACAAGCAGAGAGCTGTCTGTCTACATTGTATACAGGTTTCCTTTTACAAAGTCAGAACATCAAGAGGTGAAATGGAAAAATACACCTTTTATCACTTAAAATATTGAGTAAGATTTAAGAAAAACATATTTTTACTGCTTTTCCTTTTTTTTTTTTTAATTCAATCTTGATTTGTTCATACCTTTCTCGTCACTATTTCTGAATGTGATCTTCAACATACAAGTAGTGAGTCATTTTTCTTTCCTTAATTTCCTTCTCTCGTCTTTGTTGTTCTAGATCTTGTTACAAGAGGCAGGTCTGAGGGCTTAGCACACATGTTCCTCCACCACAGCTGTACTTCTTCAAGTTACATTTCCCTTCCATGACGCAGCCTGGTCAGAAAATCAGTTCCATAGGAACACTGTTGAAAGTAAGATTAACAGGACAACAGAAGGTAAGAGGAAAATACTACAGACATGGCACATACCCATTAGACATATTTTACAGAATCATAGAATCACAAGGTTGGAAAGAAGATACAAGATCATCTAGTTCAACCATCCTCCCATCACCATTACTACCACAAGCTATTAAGCCATATCTCATAGCAGCTTCACCAGCGCTGAGTAGAGGGGGACAATCACCTCCCTGCTCCTGCTGGCCACACTATTTCTAACGCAGGCCAGGATGGCATTGGCCCTCTTGGCCACCTGGGCTCACTGCTGGCTCATGTTCAGCTAATCATCAACCAACACCCCCAGGTTCCCTTCTTCTTCACAGTCATCCAGCCGCTCATCCCCAGCCTGCAGTGCTGCATGGAGTTATTGTGGCCAAAGTGCAGCACCCAGCACTTGGCCTTGTTGAACCTCATCCCATTCCCCTCAGCCCAGCAAACCAGCTTATCTACATCCCTCTAGACTGACCCCTCAATATGGCATGGGAACAAGTTACCAAGTTATCTAACACAGCTTGCCATATTTTTGCTAGTATGTTCAACGTCCACACAATGAGAAATTGCACATTAAACTTATAGACCGATTTCATGCTAATTAGTCTACGAGGGAACTAGGTAACTGGGTTGTTACAGTTCTATCTTTAGAAATGAATCAGAATTACTGCTTATTTAGAATAATTTAAGATGTCTGACTGTGCCTGTTCTAAGCATCCATTAACAAATGGTAGCTTTTACTTGACTTCCCACTGCATTAAACAGGCCATTTCAGTACACAAGACAAAGCAGCTCATCAGCTGGAGGTTGAAAATAAATACACAGGAAGCAGGCATACAAACAAGTGTTAAAATACATCTGTCTTACGTCAAGATTCATTTGTAAATTCATTGCAAGAGCTACACTAAGTCACATCAATGTGTTTTCAAGATGATTAGAACACAATCAGAATTACAAATCTTTAGATATGGTACTAAGGGACATGGGTTAGTGAAGGAATACTGATAGCAGGTGGACAGTTGGTCTAGATGATCTTGGAGGTCTTTTCCAACCTTGGTGGTTCTAGGACTGTACCACGTAACGCTTAAATCCCTTTATAGCAATGGGATTCTGACTTACATCCTCAAGATTTCTGAAGTGATTCACAGATGCTGTGTGAGACACAGGAGAGCTAGAATTGAAGACAGGCTGCCCTGTAGTCAATGCTGGAGTAATGCTATCTATCAAGTTCAGCTGTTCACTGCAAGGAGCAGTGGGGAAACACTTCTCTGTACTTATAAGCCCTTTGGTTCACAAACCTGAATCCTCTCCCAAAGTGGAATGACTAAGTTTACTCCAGAGGTATTTAAGAGGCGGGTAAACCACCCCTGCAATCTCTTTTAATTCAGTACCTTTGAAATCTCTAAACACAGAGTTATAGAAGTTATAAATAAAAGTCTAGTCTCTCAATAAGGGATCATTAATGCCCTTTAACAAAAAGTATCAGCCAGAAGGCTTTAGCATGACCTGAAAAGGGAGATACAATCATCCAATCTATTTGGTTTTCAAAGTCCCTCTCTGCATACAAGCAGGATTCACTGAGCAAAAAGGGAAGGAAAAACAAAACAGAACAAAACAAAGCCCCTTAAGCTGCTGTTTGGGAAAGCTCACGTATAAATAAAACAACAGATGTTTCTGTTTGTTTTGTGAAAGGCAGTAATCGAAGATCAGTCATCCATGCATCAAACAAGTGCTCTCGGTCTGCTGACTGAACAGCGGTGTGACAGCACCTCAGTGCCTCCGGAGCGCCTTCGAAGATGACTCCTGTAGGCAAAAAAAAATGCCAAGGATGTGCTGGTTTTGAGATCCGAGTAAGAAAACCCCTCGGGAGTATCTACAGCACTATTTTCTGGAATTATGGAAATGACCATAGGTGACTGAAGAAATTCAAAAGACAAAAACGAGGCACGAATGGGATGTTATGCAAATTAAAGTGATGTGGATGCAAAGATACAACTGTGCCTTACAGCTTGGTCCTGGCTGCCAAGGAAGTTCAGCGTTGATTCACCAACTAAGTCTTCCTACAGCCATTGCCTCAAAACTGCAATGTTTCTTCTATAACATCAAACTTCGTGGTTGAGACAGGACAGGTACTGACCACAAAAGATAACTGCATCAAAAGCAAGTACTTTGTGGAAATGATGTCAATTACAAAAGCAACTATGATAACAGTAAGACTAAAAGAAGAGCTCACCTCTCCAATGGCATCAGTTTTCTCAAGGCCTATCTATGGAGCAGGTACAAGATACTGTCTCTCTTTATAGGTCTTGTCTGTCTTAAAGCTCATGCATTTTAATGGGAACTCTTCAGTATCCCAAGCACTACAGTTTGCAACAGAAGCAGGAAAAAAGGAGCAGTGCAATCTGGTCCCGTGCTAAGAATATGCCCTCCTGGCTCCCAGAGGCCAGGAGCAGCTCCCAGCCCTACCCTTGTGCTGGCAGCATGGGGCACAATCCATACCTCCCCTTTCAGGGTGCCTGCCCATCATCTGTGGGGTGCCAGCATGGCAGGCAGGGTAAGTTAGGGGATTGCACAGACAGCACAGGGACACACACAGCTACAGCACCACATCTTCAAAGGAGAGGCATGTAATGCAAATAGAAGAACGTGCATTCCCAGAACAATGAGTTCTTGTAGCCACAACAGCCTGCCGAAAGGACAGAGGTGAACATGCAACTGCCAACTTACAGGAGACCGCTGGAGAAGAGCGTGTAGATAGCTGAAGGTGTTTACTCACATTCTGTAAGGCTTTAGTACAGCCATTTATCTGTTATATTGCTGCTATTAATCCTAAGCATGCAGTTCACCGACTGAGGGTTAATTACAATCTATTAATAAATCAACAAACCACTTCGATCCTTATTTGATTTAAACCATGAGTCCAAGTCCTGTATAAGCACATGCACTTCTCCGTGTTTTTCTGCTTGACACTTACACACAACCTTTGGCTAAAAAACACAACTTCTCATTTTCTATTTTGTTTTGTTCTTCCTCACCCTCCCCTGAGAGCACTTAAAATATGCAGGAAATCAACTGGCTAGCTTTACCTGTCAAATTTCCTTCTGTGCTAACAGTTACCTCCCAGAACTTACTTCTCTCCAAATTGGAATGATATGGATTTGATGAGTGGACTGTTCAGTGGATGAGGAACTGGTTGCGAGATCATACCCAGAGAGCAGTGGTCAATGTCTAGATGGAGATCAGTGACCAACGGTGTTCCTTAAGCATCAGTACCGGGTCTGGTGCTCTTTAACATCTTCATCAGTGACATGGAGTCAGTGGGATCAAGAGTGCCCTCGGCAGTTTGCAGGTGACACTGAGCTGTGTGGTGTGGTGAACACAACCAAGGGATGGGATGCCATCACAGGGACCTAGACAGGCTGAGCAGTGGGGCCCAGGAGAACGCCACGAGGTTCAAAAAAGCCAAGTGCAAAGTCTTGTTCTTGGGCTGTGGCAACCCTGACTATCAGTACAAAATGAGGATATAAGAATGGAGCATAGTCGTACTGAAAAAGACCCAGCAATAGTGGTGGATGACAGCTGGATGTAAGCCAGCACTGTGCCCTCACAGCCCAAAGAGCCAACCACATCCTGGGCTGCATCCAAAGCAGCGTGGCCAGCAGGGTGAGGGAGGGGATCTGCCCCTCTGCTCTGTGCTGTGAGACCTCACCTGGAGCACTGCAACCAGATGGGGAGTGCTCAGTACAGGAGAGACATGGAGCTGCTGGAGAGCGTGCAGAGCAGAGCTGCAAAAATGATCCAGGGATGGAACACCTCCCTGTGAGGACAGGCTGAAAGCTGGGCTGTGCAGCCTGGAAAAGGGAAGGCTCTGTGAGACCTGATAATGGCCTGTTAGTATCTTAAGGGGGGGGTAAGAAAGAAAAGGACAGACTCTATAGCAAGGACTGTGTGATAGGACAAGGGGAAATGGTTTCAAACCAAAAGAGAGGAGATTCATATCGGATATAAGGAAAAAGCTTTTTAAACAAGTAATACTGAAGCAGTGGCACAGGTTGCCCAGAGAGGTGGTGGTGCCCCATCCCTGCAGACAGGCAAGGTCAGGCTGGACGGGGCTCTGAGCACTGATGGAGCTGTGGGTGTCCCTGTGCACTGCAGGGGGTTGGACTGGATGGCCTCAAATGATTCTAAGATTCCAACCAAACTACTGGAATAACCTTCCCCCTCCCCCCCATTAACAGTTTCCTAGTCTGGTCCAAAATATATCTTTTAATTAAGAGTGACTATTAAATTATTGGATTTAACAAATTAAAATTTAGGACTAATGCTTATGCTAGCTTCCCCAATGCAGCTTTGGAACCAGGTGTTCTAACGGAATTATATCCACTACATCAGATTTTTACATCAGGATATTCTAAGGAAAACACATCTGAAAGATTGCTGGCTTCTCCTTCCTCCTTCACAACTGAAAAAGCAAGCTAAAACCTGACTTCTAGACAACAGTGGAAAGCGTCTTTATTTTAAAACTGGTTTAAAAACAAAAAGTTATGGTTCAGTTCTCAACCTCCACTGATGACATTTTCATAAGTTAGAGGTAATCAAGGATTATTTCCCATGCTTAAAACTCAAATTCTCAGTCATAGGAACTATAAAATCTGATGCCTGGGTACACAACATAGGGTCTTACTATCGTTCCTATATCCTAAGTAGCCTCGGATAAAACATACTGACAGATTTTGTACTCAAAGACACTGAAAAAACTCAATCCTTGATGACCAATGACTGACCTCAGATCTTATCAGTCTGTGACCCTCAAATAGTAACACTCATTTTAGAATTATACTTGCATTTAACTCTTTTTTTTATTGTGCACACTTGGCTTTCAATTGGTCAAAATTATTCTTTCCCCAAATTCACTTTTCTTTCTTCTGCAGTCAGGAGTAAAACATTCTGTGTGATGTATAAAGATTTTTAAAAACACCTAGGCTTGCAAGACACAGCATATCACCTTTGCAATTACTTTTTAGAAGTTACTTATTTTGCAAAACCTGGCTTCTTAAACAAGCACTTAAAGTTTAAAATAACTTCCCAGACTAACAACTGGCAAACTACATTCTTCTTCATTACAATTTCAGAAAGGAACAGTCATAAAGCTGAAAAAAGTATAAAAGCCTTACGTGAATAAAAAAAAGCTATTCATAATTAACTTTTTTCAAAGGTATTGATCTTAGTGCCATACAAAGAAAGTGATTAGTGGAAACCAGACCTGCCAATAACTCCAAGAAGGGGAAAAAAAAACCCTGCAGTTATAGTGGTGGAGCTGGTTTTCATAATATGTTTATTTTGTAGATGCTTGAAATTTTAAACATTTGTAACTCACTGAGGGTAACATCATGCAAATTTTAATGCCTGACTTACATGAATGTTCCTATCCTCTACAACATGAAAAATCACCACCTGCTCTGTATTAGTATTTAAAGTTGGCAAGCAGCCACGATGCTCACTGATCTTTTTTTTTTTCCCCTCACTTAATTTTGATTAGGTGGAGGAAACATTACAGATTACCTCACATGCCAATCTATTAAGTGCCCAACGCTCATGCAATCTTCAGCTTCTGTGGGCCAGCAACTTGTCCTCCCCCCTCACACACCAATTAAAAAGTCAAGAAATAAAAACGAAACTTGCATCACAGTGAAAAATCTGTACATTCATTACATTCATTTAGCATTGTAATGCAGTTCAAAGTTTATCAAACAAAAAATTGTTCATAAAACACTGCTGGTCAGGGGAAGAAACACCTTACTTGTCAGTTGCATGCTCCCTAATTCCAGCTAGCACTGCTCCAATTAATTAATTTGTTACTCCCTACTTCTTCTTTCCCAGCCTTTTTCCACATTATCTATACTTCTTTTTTCTTCCAGGTGATACAAAGAAAACCATTCCTCCATTTCTCTCTGTCCAGAACATACCTTCTCCCATTATTAAGTCATGTCCATGCCTTCCTGTTTACATACTCCACCTATGGAATGTGGAACCAAAGAAGAGGATATCGATTCTAGGATAAACCCTTCCCCTCTTCCCCAAAAGCACCATAGAAGCACAGTAGGAGCCCATCTCCAGTTAACATTTACCCAGCATATTCCCACCTCCTCACTCCCTTAACACATCTGAGTCACCAGTTGAAGTGACTGGAAATCTACCTGCTGAAGCAAAAATGCATGAAGTTCACAGTTATTTGACATGCATTTCCATAGCAGCTCACATGTGGAAAACTGAAGAGTTCCTCTTAAAACACGTAAACTTTGTCTAAAAGACAGAGCCTGTGAAGAGAGGCAGTATCTTGGATCAAGTCCATGGATTGTCTATGAGAAAACTTAATACCTTTGGAGAAACAAGCTTTTAAGCCTTCATTTTAGGGGCTGTAAAAGTCATAAGATGACTTGTACTTAATCTCCCTTTCTCCAGGAGTACTACCATTCTCTAAAGGAAAATGAAAGATGAGCCCCTTCCCCTGGAACTGTTATGCATTAGGCTTGTCAAGAAGATGGTTCCACTCTTCATCACGCTATTTTATACCTTCTCACTCATTCCTTCCAGCCAAAATCTGGTACAGAACACCTCCTTCTTCCCCAGCTCTTAAAATTAATCTTCTAGCCAGTTAAACACTGCATAAGTTGCTTCTTTCAAAAAAAGCATTTTTTGTAATTTTGAGAATTGAACGTTAAGTTAAGCAGCAGGTGGTAACTTTAATATCTGCATTTGTCTTTGAATCATAGCTCAATAAACCCTGACAGAATATTAAAGCTTCTGCCTACCTTGTCCACTTGGCGTGTGCACACCATCCTGTCAAACTCCACCTGCTGGATAATCTTCTTACGGCAGGCCAAGAGAAGCTCTCTCTGACACATTTGTTAATACAACACCTAAAACAATGATACATCTGTTTTAATGATGCACTTACATACTTTGCATGCTTTTCCTTCCCACCATTCCCTACCAGCACTGCAACCAAGTGAATCATCGAGTAAATTACTTCTTCTTAACTCCTCAGGAGAACAGGCCTTACTCGTACTTAAGTTCAATTCCTAAAAATATTTATCTACAGGAAAAGTTACAGCCCCATGCAACAGGTATGGAAGTAGAAAATAAACTTCACAATTTTCAGTCTCTAAAAACAGAAAAGCAGAAAGTTTGGAAATGTGATTTAACTTACTTTTAAGCACTACAAGATACAACTGGTATAAAGTTCCTTGCAATTCCAAAAGAATGCCAATTCCAGAGAATGCCACTTGTAACCTAATTAGTTTAAAGTATACGAGTCTGTTTGTGTGCTAGTTAACTTTTCTGCTTGCTACTTCTCTCAGTAAACTTAGTCAAATGATGGTACAGTCTGTTAAAAGTGGAATGAAGCATCAGCCTTCTCTGTGGTACCCTACCCTCCTTAATGTTTAGAAACAATCATTTTTGCATTTGCAAGTAGAAGGAGAATTGAATTTGTGTTGCAGGTACAAAGAAGTATGAACTAAAGATATTGTTACAGCACTTATTTAATCACTTCCTCTTACACAAGTCAAACATTCAACTTCCAAACGTTAACTGATAATATCTTTTTAACTGTAATTTCCAACAGACAGAAACCATACAAAGTTGGTTAGATCTGTGTATTTGCTGATATTCTCTTCTAGTATGACTTAAATTTATTTGTCACCAAGTAGAGTTGTTCATTATCACCTACCATCCTTCAGGAATAATTTGAAAATACAGCTCAAGACTTGCAAATCATACCTGGAATAGTCTGTCCTACTGAAATACTGGGAGAGGAATTATATTTGAGAATAGTAATTTAATCCAACTGGGAGAGAATGTACTACTTAGAATAATGCTCAAATACTTCTCTAGAAAAAGAAATGAGTGCCATTTTACAGTTGATGTAGCACAGGCATTCAAATTCCTTGCTGAATGTAGATTATAATTTCAAAACATTGTAACAAAATAAGTAGGAGTGGAGACTGTCCACACAAGTTTGATAGGAGCTTCAAAATAACCTTTATTACTTATGAAGAACTATTTTGCTCCTCTTCTACTAAGTTCCTCTGTTTTTGCTAGATCTCCAAATAAAACTGTAGCAGAACTTCTCTGTGCAGGTCTCACATAAGAAGAAAAGAGGAAAAAAAATATAAGGACTGTTTTCTAAATTAAAATATTTTATAAAATTTGTTTAAAGCCTAAGTAATTTAAAATACATCTTCAAAGAGTAAATAGCTGAGCTTCGTATTACCTGTGATTAGTGAAACTTTCAGCCAGTCAGGTAGAAGATCTGAAGTGGGGCAGGTACTGAGCCACTACCCTTTCAATACATTTCTGTCATGGAAGGAAGGGAGAAAAAGAAAAGGTACACGGAATATCAGTATTAAGAAATCATAAATTCCCAAAACAGTCAAATTAGGCATGGCATACTCCTCATAATGACTCTTGGTGAAAGATTTGGGACAGTAAAAATATCTCATACTGGTACATTAACATAGTTCAAATTCTGTCATTGTAATTAAGGTTAAAAATACCTGTACTAAAACAGTATTTAATTCTTTCTTCCCCCCTCCCCATAGAGGTCAGAGCAAGTAAGTTTTTGGAGTTGCTTCAGGTTAACTCTTCAGCTTACTTTCTCCTCAACTCCTACTTCAGGAGTAAAACAGATTCACAGCAGACCACAAAGAAGAAATCTCTGACTTCTGCTTCCCAATACAAAACTGTTTGTGGAGCTACTCTCCTGACTCATTAGATTGCAGGAAAAAAAAAGTAATGCTTTCACTACTACCATCAGCTTTAATTGGAGTTATGAAGCAAGCATTAACTATTCCACCCCTGTGTTTCTGACACAGAAAATGGTTAGGTTTCTGCAGTGTATACTTGCCTTGTGAGTCTTCCATAACCTGAGACGATCCTGGATGGTTTACCTGAACTTCATAGCTATCCTGAAAGAATTCAAAAGCTTAATTTTGGAGCATGTCAAGTTAAAACCACAGCATTCTATTAACTTTCAGAACCCGCCACTTCAGTTCTAATTGAACACACTATTACTCAGAAAAATACACTGCCTCAACATTTCTGAAGAACTTTGTTTAGTGGTTTAAACCTAATCAAATTTTAATTGAAATGCCATTATTCTTTTCTTGGTTTTAGAAGCAGCAGCAGGAGTGTCTCAAGTTCTTTCAAGCAAATCTAACATTCTCTGACACTTCTTGATGAAGAACGAGCAAACTCATCTGGGCCACTAGCCAAAGATACACTTCACTTGGTTTCATTGATCTCAGCACAGCCAAGAACAGAGGCAGATCAGACTAGTTCAGAAACTTACTTAGCAAAGCACACTCCATGCAAAAGAAAGGAATTACTTATTATGCTTTGCTAATGTTCCTGTAAATGGTGTTTATTATACAGCTCTGATGTTTCAGACTACTTTTTGATTGTTAATTACCACAGCCAAGGTGCCAAAAGCCAGCACCTGACAGATGTCCCAAATCCAGTATGAAGTGGACAGTGGTGATCTATGAAGAGAAAATCCCCTTTCCCAGCCCTAGGTAGCTGCAAAGGGCAGGGAAGCTCGTACAGACTGCCTCCCCCAAACACTGCACCAATAAATACTCCATCTGAATTTGGTGAATCTACAGCACAGAAGAAAAAACATACTCTTTCTTTTTTTATTAATACTATGCAGCTAAGAAATTCCTGCTGTGTTGTTTTTGTTTGTTTGTTTTTAATGAAATTAAAAGCAATCTCGGATAAAAGCATTTGCAACAGGAAACTCCTAAAACAATAACCTCAAATAATTATCTTCCAAAAGGTACAGTTTACAACAATTTGGATACTTCTACTTCCTCAGAGGAAGGCAACCTGAGTGCCTCAGGAACTCCTTAAGAGATGCACAGGCCTTGATTTCCAATAGTGTTTTTTGCACTTCTATGCTCATGGCAGAGCAGTGCTGTTCTTATGTCTGTTTTCCATTTTTTTAATTTTTATTTATTTATTTTTAAATCTAAGAAGAACAGCAATACAGCAACTCAAATGCCAAGGCTGACAGGCTGCTTTCCTTGCCCAGATCCTACTGAGAACATCAACCAATTCAGCTTCTTTTTTATATACAGAACTGCCAGCAACTGCTGGTTTAGAAAGAATAGCCATTTTACATAATCAAGCTAACAAGGAAGAAAAGGCCACAACTAATGTACCTCGCTTACTGAGTTGAAACAAAAGCCCTTTAAGTGGGTATTTCATTAAGCATTAATCACACTACCTCTACCCACGCTAAAGAAGAAATCCTTTAATTGAGCAGCAAGAAACTTAAGCTGGTGAAAACAGTTTCCATTAGGTAAAGACAGTGGTGCTAAAGCAGAAAACGAGCATCCCAGGTGGAAATTCACCAAGACCCCCAGTTTCTTGCTCTTTTGGGGGTATTGTAACAGGTTACTTAATTTTATCCTGGTGGTAAAACTATTCCACACTACAGAATATTTAATTCCCAGAGAAAATAATGTACTTCCAAGGGGTTATTTTTAAAAAATTCAAGTAAATGCTGGGGTATTATGATTTCTAGCTTCATTATCCCATAATAGGATACTCCTGTTTGTATAGAGGTGACGGGATAGCACTACAATAACACTGCAAAAAAAATAACTGCGTAACGCAACTATTCATGTGGCCATTTTTATTTAAACAGGATACACAAACAGCTCTCAGTGCAAGTAATGGTGTTACTTTTTCATTCTCAAAAAATACAAAAAAAATCTCAAAACGGTTAGTAATGACTGCCTGCTTAAATACCTGAGGTAAAACTGGTGACCACGTGGAGGCTCGGTCATAGAATCATTCAGGTTGGAAAAGCTCACCAAGCTCACCAAGCTCACCAAGCTCACCAAGCTCACCAAGCTCACCAAGCTCACCAAGCTCACCAAGCTCACCCCACCCCGTGACCTCGTCCCTCAGTGCCAAAGTTCACGCCACCACTCCAACCACAGCCGCCATACTCGCGGCCACGATTTATCTTACGCCCTGCGCATGCGCACGACAACACCGCCGCCGCAGTTCCGCCGCCGCGGCCGGCGATTGGTGTGTCCCGCTGCGGCCGCCGTAGTGCTGCTGGCCGGCGCGTGGTGGGCCCGCGCTTGGTGGAGCGGCGCGTCTCAGGTGGGGCGATGGGCACGGCTTAGAGCGGGATGCGCTCCCTCGCGGCCGGGGTCGAGCGGGGAGCGGGGCCGTGTTTCCCTCGGATCGGTCTGTGGGGAAGAGCTTTGTTGTATTAGCTCCCAAATGGTATTTTAGGGTATGAAGCGTGGGGAGCGCCAGCCTGAAGTCTGGGTTGGGATGGAACCTTTGGGTCGATAAGGGCTCGTTTAAGGCGCCGTTAGCTGACAGCCAGCTGAACGTGAGCCAGCAGTGTGCCCAAGTGGCCAAGAAGGCCGACGGCACCCCGGCGTGTGTCAGCGGGAGGGCGGCCAGGGGGAAGCAGGAGGTGACCGTCCCTCAGCTGGGACGGAAGTGGTGGGATCACCTGGACATGTCCCAGAGCCGTGGAGATGTGGCACTGCGGGCAGTGGGCACTGTAGGTTTGGGCTTGTTTATCTTAGTGGTCTTTTCCAACCTTAGTGATTCCCGCATGTGCATTTGCAAAAAATAATGTAGATGTTAGAAATCTTGCTTCTGTTTTTTGTTAATATGGGGTTTCTGTTTGTGTATTTTTTTTTTTTCATTCCAGACTTTAGTGACATCAAAAATGGCATCCCAGAAGGAAATACTGAGCGATGGGCGGTTCAGCCGCGTTGCCCGGGATCCCAGGTTTTGGGAGATGCCAGAAAAAGACCGTAAAGTCAAGATTGACAAACGCTTTCGAGCAATGTTTCATGACAAGAGGTTCAAGCTGAAGTGCACAGTGGATAAAAGAGGTCGACCTGTTAACTACACCTCTGTAGAGAACCTCAGGAAGTTCTATGCCTTGTCAGAATCTGACTCTGAACTTTCAGAAGATGAGAGCGAAGTACGTGCAGAAAAGAAAAAAAAGAAGAAAAAAGCTAAGCCTAAGGAAGGAGATTCTGTAAAACCAATTCCTCAGGAAGAGAGTAAAATGAAAAAACAAGGGGTGGACCAACCATGTAAAGATGACCCTCAGAACAAAGGACAGAAAGTTGCATCTAGATTCAAATTGAAAGAGGTCTCCAAGAAAACCAGAACAGAAATGGATGACTCCCAGGGAAACAAGGACCTTTTATGTGACACAGAAAATGAGGAAGGAGGTGAATCAAAAAGAAGGTCGGTTTCAATTCAAAATAAGCAAAAGACTTCAAAGCCAAGAGGTGCTAATACAGTTAAAGCTGCAAAGAGGGACTGTTCCGTACAAGGAAAAACACAGGAATCAGGTTAGTTTTTACAATAACAGAATTTGGCTGTACTTATTTTGGTATTGTTCCTATTTTATAAATGAAAAACACTTTTTTCACTAAATCAATCATAAGAGCAGACTTGGGTTATTACTAATGGCAGTGAGCTGCTCACAGAATCACTACATGTTCTTCAGTAACATTGGAGACAGTCATGTCCTTCCCATTGATGGAGCCAAAATTGTTTGTTAAGGTAGTAAGAAACGTAAAATATCATAAAATTGTAGAATGGCCTGGGTTGAATAGGAGCACAATGCTCATCCAGTTCCAACCCCCTGCTATGTGCAGGGTCACCAACCAGCAGCCCAGGCTGCCCAGAGCCACATCCAGCCTGGCCTTGAATGCCTGCAGGGATGGGGCAGCCACAGCCTCCTTGGGCAGCTTGTTCCAGTGCCTCACCACCCTCTGGGGAACATAGAATAAAATATCATTCTGTCAGTTTTAAATCAGTAACACAAGTAGGGGACCAAAAAGCAATAAATGAGAAACAGAACACTTAATACTGATGTTTGAATTTCCTTGATGTAATTTGTTCCTGCATTGTTCTACCTTCCAGAGATTCTTTTAATCAGCATGAAAAAAGCTTAAGATGTTTTTTCCTCTCTGTAAAAGGTCTTATGAGTTTACAACATAAAGTCAGATACCTAATATTTGTGTTTTAGTGACTGCTTGCAGAGACAGCGGTGCTGAAAGTGACATCGGTGAAAGCCAATTAGAGGAGGAAATTTCTGCAAGGGAAAGTTCTGAGTGTATGCAATCAGAAGAAGAGTTGGAAGACAATGGGGAAACAGATGAGGATGAGGAGTCAGAAGACAGTGAAGAAACAGATGAAGGTGGTGATTCAGAAGATGGAGAAAGTGATATAGAGCCTGATCTGGCTAGAGGTATAGGGAACATCGAAACAAGCTCGGAGGATGATGATGACTTAGATGATCTATTTCCAAAGGAGCCAGAGATTGAGCATTCATGGGGTGAACTAGATAAAGATGCCCCTCGTGGAGATGAGGTAAAATTGCTTCTGCACGTGACAAGTTACTGTGTGAATAACTCAAAGATGCACAGTCATAAGTTTGTTGTACACTTTTGACTATGTAACAACTTGTGAAGGTTTCTGTCAGAACAGTTTTTGGACATTTTTGATTACAAAATGCAAGTGATTGGTGAAGTTGGCCATGAATGCGAGACCTTAAGTGTTCTCTGATGTCTCCCTCTGTCTCTAAGCAGAGGGTCATCTGTAGATAGATAAGCTCTATCTGTAATTGGGGAAAAAAACAAATGGAACTGTGCTTTTAAAGGAATTCTGGGGTTTAAATAGTTCTGCTGTTGTTGGCTACTGATTTGTTTTTCACTTTTTAAATATGAATTCTCTAATTCAAGCTTAAATAATAAGTTATTTGACAAGGAAGCAGGACTTTAAAACTGGTCATGTTTAGTTCATACAAAAATCACAGTACCAGTCCTGTTATAATACTGTGTTATTGCTGTTGTGACTAACCACATGTTAACAAAATCTGAAGCACTGGTGTTATAAATCTAGTCTTAATTCTATGATTAATGCAGTCTAACATATCTGTTGTTGCTTTACCACTTGGATATTAAGTCTCAAGGAAAATTCTGTTTGTATTTTTAAGTAGAGCTTGTTGCTGACTTCAGTATTTACATAGAACAGTTGTTAGAGAATTATATATTCTCCACGGTGGTCAGGAATTAAACTTTTTTTTTTCCCCCCCATTCAGATTACAAGTAGATTGGCAGTTTGTAATATGGACTGGGATAGACTTAAAGCTAAGGACTTGCTGGCTTTATTTAATTCTTTCATACCCAAAGGAGGAACTATATTTTCTATTAAGGTAAGACCTGATTTCTAAAAGAAGGAAATGGCTTTTTACTCTAAAGCTGGGGGAAAACCAACAAAATAAAAGCAAAGGAAGTTAATTAGGTGTAAGAACCAAGACACAATAAATGAGAATTGACATGTGTTGCATTGGGGCCGTGCCCACCGCCCTCTGGGGCACAGCCTTTCCCTCACCCCCACCTGCCCTCCCCTGACGCAGCTCCATGCCGTTCCCTCAGCCCTGTTGCTGTACAGACAGCAGAGCTCAGCGCTGCCCTCTGCTCCCTGGAGAGCTGCAGCTGCCATCAGGCCTCCGCTCCTCTGCTCTGTGCAAACCAAGGGACTTAGCTGCTCCTCATGTGTCTTCCCCTCTAAATTCTTCCCAATCTTTGTAGCTTGAAATGTAAAACGTGACTGCTTTCTAGTGATGGGCTTGGATTCTGAAGCTGTTAACATATTGTGTATACGATGTTGGCTCCAAGTGCTGTTTCGCTGAGATTAATAGTGAAGTCTTCAAAACCTAATAGAGGGAGACTCCATTTCCTTAGCTAGATTGCTTTTCAGTAGTCTGGTAGATAACTCAGCCTTAAACCTGGAGATTTCTAAATGCACTTCAACTCCTTTTGTCGTTGCCCACTATTGTTTGTTTTTCAACAATTTTGAATTATTTATAAACCTTCTGATCAAAGTAATGTTTTTCCAGTTTTAGTGCTTGCCTGCAGCAGAAACTTCCTGAGTCAGTCTAGTAGCCCTTTCTGAAGAGGGCCACAGTAAGATGAGTGAAGTTACTGCTCCTATTAGTTTTCATCTGTCTCAAAATAGTCTCTTTTTTTAAACAGTCTGTTCACTTCCTTGTCTTTTCTTTAAGGTTAAGAAGATATTAAAACTTGTAGAATTGAACCCATATCTTTTTTTCCCTCTCTAAAAATCAGTGAATTGTAAAAGGCTTGGTGAGATCTTATTCTTAATTGGTATACAATTTGCTCCACAGTTAAAATTTATGTTTGTATTGTTTTATTTCTAGATTTATCCTTCAGAGTTTGGAAAAGAAAGATTGAAAGAGGAAGAACAACAAGGGCCTAAGGAACTGTTTGATCTTCCAGAGAACACCACAGAGAAAGACGAGTATTAACTTAATCTTCAAATGAATCTTAATTCCCTGATTAGCTGCTTGTTACAGAACTTCACTTACTGGAGTCTCCTGTAGACATTTTCATTTTGTAGCTTTTTCAAGGGATATATCAGACCTGACCCTAGTTCAACAGGAATGCATGTAATAAATGCATTATGATAAAACTTGCAAAAAAAATGTTACCAATAGGAGACTTGAAAACTTTTATTGCTCATTGCAATAATAAATTGAATGTGTCAAGAGTTCAATATATGATTTTTCTCTACCAATTGCCACTCGCACAAGAAAAACCCCTTTGTTGCTTGCTATTAAAATTTTTTATCAGCACAACCAACATGGACTGGACTTCAGATCCAGGCTTCTCCAAGCATGGAGTAACCATACCTGTATATGAAAATGCTTTTCACCAGCTTTGCCAGGAGTCAAGGGTGCAGGTTTCAGCTCAGCTAAATAGGCTCAAACACTTTGATGGGAAATGTTAATCACTGCTTTCTGTGGCCTGCATAGAGGCATGCAGAGGTGCCCTGTGCGGGGACTCTAACCTCACAATGCTGGTAGGAAGCAGAATCAAGTAGAGTTGCAACTATATAACATATGGAGGCAATTAGAACAACATTAGTAATTTGAAAAGTTGGAAGATTTAATAATGTCA